TTGCCTACCAAGTCTCCCTGACCAGATCAATTTTAATGTTGTGCCAATAAGTGTGTCATAATTCACACTTAAGGCACAAAGTGGGGATTGAGGGAAGTTAGCCCAAAGAAGGAAATATTAAAAAGGCAGAAAAATATATTTTTCCTCAAAAGGACTTTTTAAAACCAAACCTGGCTCCAAATCTATCTCTCTGCCCCAAGCAAGACTTTAGCCCCATACAAATGCAGATGTAAAACCATCAGAAAGTTGGAGCCAGAGCAATCAAGAAGACAAAAGAAGATCTGCATACCCCACCCAAACTCTAGGAGTCATTAGCCCCATCACCTGGGAAGCAGGATATGATAATAGAATTAAACCACAGATATCAATGCCTAGACCACAGGTCAGCAACCTGCGGCTCCGGAGCCGCATGCGGCTCTTTGAGCCTTCCCCTGTGGCTCCCAGCCTCCTCTGCCTTTGCAGAGAGAGACAGAGACAGAGAGAGGCAATTGCGCTTCCCTGTTTCTCTCTCTCTCTCTCTCTCTCTCTCTCTGTGTGTGTGTTTGTGTGTGTGTGTGTGTGTGTGTAAAAGAGAGTGCACTCACTGTTCTCCGAGGAGCTGAAAAGCTTACTGGGCGGAGCTCCTCCCTTTGCTGCGTCTCTGCAGGAAGCAGGAAGGGCAGGAGAGAGCTAGCTAGCCCAGCTATGCTGAGTCAGGAATTCTGGGAGTTGAAGTCCGTGAGTCATAAAAGAGACGAGGTTGCTTACCCCTGAGCTTGTCGGACAACAGCTTGAAGCTTGCCAGGTGAGCAGCAGATAGGAGGGGGGGGGGAGAAAGAGAGGGGGGGAGAGAGAGAGAGGAAAGAGAGAGAGAAAAAAGAGAGTGGGGGAAGAGGAGTGGCAGACCAAGGGCAGATAGAGAGGGAGGGAGGGAAAGAGAGAGACAGAGAGAGAGAGAGAGACCCTTTTGACATCTAAAATGAAGATAACACTGCATATATCCTTTTTTTACCTGTGTGTGTATGTAATTTTATTCTCTTAAAGCATTCTCTTGGTGATCATTGTTTTAATAGTATGGATATTCCCAAGAGTGATATTTTTACTTTTATTTTTAATGTGTGTGTGTGTATATGTGTACACACACACACACACACACACACACACACACACACACACCTATAATAAAGGTAAAAAAGGATATATGCAGTGTTATCTTCATTTTAGATATCAAAAGAGTTTTGCAGCTCCCGGTGTTTTGTTTTTGGTGGGAAACGGGTCCAAGTGGCTCTTTGAGTGTTTTGGGTTGCCTACCCCTGGCCTAGACAAACACTCAGAAACAGTCTCAAGGTTCATGCCACAGGAACAGGAAACTATTCCAAACAAGGCTAGAGAGGGTATAAAAGCCTACTACCCCATGTGCTCAGTCTCTTCTCTCCTCTGTACTTTCCTGAAGACCATCTTTCTGCAATAAACTGTAACCTTCTTCCCAAAGCAGTCACCATGTTTGCTTATTTATTCCTGGCTTGGATGAACCAGGATGAAGACCTTACTTCTATCACTGGCATATTTTGAATTTTAGGGAATTTTGTGTTTCATGCAGTGTAAACTGAGTTTTGAGATTAGGCAGTATATAAATTTCTGTAATAAACTTGTAAGAATTGCAGTTTAATGAGATATTCTGAAATCATAAAGATAAATTCTCAGCTACATTAAGTCTCATCAGATTAAGATGTCCTTTGATTAGCAATCTGAAATGAATCTTTTTTACATTTTCTTTCATTTGTTTCTTCATGTGTTTTGTAAAAATTTTATTTAAATCGTAGTAATACTATCTCTAATTCAGACATGTCAAACTCGTGATACCGTGCGACGTATTGGGACTGTTTTGCCATTGCCAACAATGGGGTGGGCGCGGCTTCCGCGTGATGCATCTGGCTTGCGGGCCGGCAGTTTGACACCCCTGCTCTAATTGGTTAATTTTAGGTATGCAGTTGACCCTTTGGGCAATGTTGACAACAGTGAATTATATATTAAAATTGATATATTAAAATTCTGTCTCAAATTTAGCTCTTTGGGAATTACTTCAAATTGCAGTTAGATATTTAAGGATGCCAGTACATTCAGGAGTGTTGAAGAAAGTGCTGTAACATCTACCTTTAGGAAGAGATTTACTACTTTGAGAAAAATATATTTTTAATTGATGGCAAAATTTGTTTTGCTGCATGAAAGTAGAGGGTATTTTACTATCTGTATGTCTGAATTTCATAGTTTTCCCACCTCTTTAACTAAGAAGACTTTTTGGCACTCTATAACAGGGCCGTGGCTTATTTAAGGCCACGCAAGTGGTGGGCCTGTGCGCATACACACATGGGTGAAGCTCAACTTGGGCAAGTCAAACTGTGCTTGCATGCATGCTCCCCCACCATTTGCATGGCCTGGTTCTCCTCTCCCCTCCCCCCACTGGGCCACCAAGCTGCAAAAATTGGGGACTGCTGTTCTTTAAGATAGGTAGCTTTTTTAAAAAAATAAAGAGTATTTTTCACACTTGGGAAGTTAACTTGATCTTTAGGGACTGAATCTGTACTTATTTTCTATTATATAATATTGACACTGCTATGTACAGCTGTCTGACATATTTTAAATTCAAAATATGCTGTTTCAACCTAACAAGTATTCCAATACTGTGCAATCTTAGTAGAAGTATTTCAAACTCAAATATAGGATTGGATGTGTCAAAGTGCTTCTGATAAATTTGGGAGAAGGTATGTCAAGCTTGAAATATTTTGCACATCTGTGCTATCTTTTTTTGGCTGGATTAAAATAGTAATATATTCATTTCTATTAGCTTTTCATTTACTGATTTTGCAAATAGCTGTATTTTAACAAAATAATGGTGACTGTTAAGACAGACTGCACATGACATGAATGACTTTAATAAAATGCAAACCTGCGTTTAAAAGCATACAAATTACAGTTTAGGGTGGAAGGGCAAAATTGCCAGAAGAGTAAAAAACAAGAATGTAGATATGGACTTGATTGATGGATTCTGTTCACTTACTAACAAGTTCTCTGGATGAACTGCTCATCTAAAGCACCCATAAGCTGCGAACTATAAAAATAAGTAGCATAATACAAAAAAATATTAAAATCTTAATTGGCCCATTATTCAAACATCTTAACATTTTGAAATCATGGAATGTCCTACTCAGTAAAAACATAGCATTATGGGAGGCTGTCTTGAGAGAATATTCTGTAAGTGTTGGATATTCCACACCTCTGGAATACATATGTCACAGGGTTTTTTTCAATGTAGATTCATTTTCTACATGGAGAAGGAAATGCAGACAATTTGATACTAAATAGATTTTGTTGATTGCCCATTATTACTGTTATCATGAGACTACAATAGTTTTTCTTACTGGTCAAGAGTGTGTTCTAAACAGGGGTGTTTTCTAATAGTCACTTTTCAGAATGAGATGGGTGTTCTATAAAATTTAATAAATATAAAATTAGGCAACATCCAGTTCCAGCATTCTGTTTCTTCTCCCCATTCCCGAACACAAAAGATCATGCACAATGCTTAGGCAGTCCTCAACTTACAGCCACAATTGGTTCTGGAATTTCTGTCATAAGTCGTCATATTCATAGGTCATCCCATGACCAGACTTGATTTTATGGCCATTTTTGCCATAGTGGAAGTTGAGTCACACAATTGTAAACACAAATCTAGATCAACCAATGGCATTTTTGTGCCAGTTAGGTTGCATTGCATTGCATTGCCTTGCATTCTTGCATGCTTCCCACTTCCACTCAAGACACACGAGCAACTCTATATCTATGGTCATGTTCTACACTACAGTTACATTAGTTTTGACAAAAATGCTCAACTGATAGAAAATGTATGTGTTGCCATTCTAGAATTTTTATTATATTCTTCATATCTTTGCTTTGCAAAAATAATTTGAGAGATTTTATTTGTCTCAATCATCTCATTTTATTTAGTCTTTGACTTATAAACATATTTGGGACTGGAACCTCCATATTGCTAAGCAATATGGTTGTTAAGTTATCATGTGACCATGCCCAATTTTATGACCTTTTTGCCACAGTTGTTAAGTGTATTTCGCTTCTCCAATTGACTTTGCCTGTTGGAAGCTGGTTGGGAAGGAACCCTAACCTGTTATATTTTGCTATTAAATTGTTAATTTCTGAATAAAGCTTATTGCCTTTTGTGATACTGGTTTATACACTTTCTTTTTAATTCTGGGTGGCATCCCACCTTATTCTTACTGTTGTTTATTTTGTATAATTTTCTTGGAAAATAATTTTCAAAGTTTGAATTAATTGCTGCCTTGCTGCTCCTTTTTACAATATGAATCCTGCAACAAAAAGACATGCATTTTATTCAGATAAATATACATCCCACTCTAGGGCAGAATGTTTATATCTTAAACTACAGGTAGCCCTTGAGTTACAACAGCAACTGAGACTGGAATTTCTATCACTAAGTGGTTGTAAACTGTGACATCATGTACACTCATTACTTAGCAATGGCAATTCCAGCAGTTCCAGGCAGGAACTGTAGAGCACAGGCAATTCTACAGGCAGGAGAATCCTGTCGGCATGCACTGTTAAGTGCAGGCAAGTGAAAAAGCAGTGGGAGAGGAAGCAGCTTCCAACTTCCTGCTGGCTTCCCAATTGACTTTGCTTGTGGAAAGCCAGCAAGAATCATTGGAAATCATGTTCACTGATTACAGTATGTATTTATTCAATTTTCAGCCACAAGCTGCAGTAGTCCATTGATTTAGGTGGCTGTAAAATGTCGTTAGAAAAATCCATGATACACTAATTATCAATACTAGAGCCTATAATGACTAAAATGTTGAGTCCAGCACTCCAGAATATTAGGATTATTATTCAGGAATGTTTGCAATTTGTTTTCATCAGGCAAGATGGAATTCCATTAAAACTACATAATAATCTTTCTGGTTCAGCCATATTTACAAATTTATGTCTTTCAGATATTTCATGCATGGTGTTTGCAAGGAAGGGGACAACTGTCGTTATTCCCATGACCTCTTCACTACTCACTCTGGCATGGTGTGTAGGTATTTTCAGCGAGGATGCTGTGCTTATGGAGATCGTTGCAGGTATAGAAATGCAGCTGTATGTTCTGTGTTTTAACAAGGAGCAATTTCCTGATATTTATGGCTATTCATCCCCAGTGGCTTTTAAAAGAAAGGAACAGGTTTTAGTTCAATGAATGTGATAAAATATGGGTAAGCCTGATCATGGAAGTTGCACATTACCCATCTCAGGTGTTATCACCAATGCTGATGTAGTAGCAGATTACTCAGTATAGTGGGAGCAGCAGTACTACTGTACTAATAAGCAAAGAATGGGATTGTGATTTGTAGTGCTATCATCAAATGCTTTCCCATCACTGAGAATCTTATGTAGTGTGTTATACAGATACATTTTGTATTCTACAGAAGCTTATGCAGATACTGAGAAAAAGGACTGTTAAGTAGAATATTAATTATAAACTGAACTTGGAAATATAATGTCAAAGTGAGACTACTGTGTTTATAATTGCCTTCTAATTGCCATTTTCTGTACAGTGCAAAACTTTTATAGAAGTTATTTAGGAAGCAAGATCACAACAAAATTAATATTTTATCCCTATGCCCTATTTCAGGCTAGCTTTGTCTAACCTGATACCTTCCATCTGGGATGCCTCTCTAAAGTCACTCTAATCCCCATCATCCACAAATGTAAACAATGCTGCGTGGTGCCAGATATGTGGAGATCAACAGGAGAGAGAAAATTGACTCTCTCTCAAAAGTTCACATGTCTAATTCAACAACCATATTAAAATCCCATAAAACATTGAAATTGTTTTTGTTTTCAAATAATCGATTGGTGAATAGTCTACATGTAGAGTAATAAAGTATATATTCTTTAATGCAAATGCAGCCATTGCAAAGGGGCTCAGGAAGAATGATATACAGTACTCTTATATACATGCAGTTTAATTTCTTCCTCCTGTTTTTATCTTGTGATGTAAAAAAATATATCACAACACAATGCAGAAATGTACTTAAGATGAAATAATTGGAGCAGAGAAGAAAGAGAATTCCTAGGGTAGAATCCAGTACAGTAATGAGTGGAAGTCCACAAATATGATGGGAATGCAGATTCGTTTTCTCTCACTGACCTTCAAAATCTGCTTTAGAGACCTTTTAGAACAGATTTTGATTTCCCAATAATTGCTTTCTCTTACTGATCAAAAAAGTTGATAAGTGGATTGTATCTTCACATATTTTTCTTTCAAGGACAGTTATATCTGATGGCTCTTCCAGCAGTACAGAGCGCTAGAGAAAATATTTATCTCAGTGAAGCTTAACAAGTCTCTTCAGAACACATTGTCCAATAACTATTTAAGACCACTTCAAGTATTTTAATGGTCTCTTTAAGTATTTTAATGGTCTCCCCCTTCTATATAATGCATTTCTGATTCTTTGAAGCAATTTCTTTTAGCTGGAATTCACATAGCATTATTTTTGCAATTTCTGTCTTTGCTCCTTATCAGATATGAACATACCAAGCCATTGAAAAGAGAAGAAACGACTACTGTGAGTCCAGTTACAAAAACCTATCCTTCGGCCTCAACGGATGTGATCCCATCTCCTGGAACACTTAAAGTGAGCAGCAATGAGACTGAAGACAAAGAGCTGGCAGCTGCAGGAGCTGGGGCTGAAGATTGGGTGAATGCTGTGGAGTTTATTCCTGGGCAGCCGTATTTTGGTCGTGGTAAGTTGATTCATTGTAATAGAAATAAATGTTCATTGCCAATCATGGCTTCTTTTTATGTGTCTCCCTGGACTTAGTAAGAGCTGTATTCATTTGAACATTCATTTGTTCTGCTTTGTGTTATAAGCTGCCTTATAATAAATCACACACTGATTTATGGGGTTCCTTCCCAATATTGCCACTGAGGGCAGTGCCTCCCTATGGTCCATTTAGTTGAGCACAATTGGCCAGCCATCTGTTGTGTTCTGAAGGTGCCAAACATTCTAGGGAGGCCTTTAAATTGCATATTCATTAAAGGAAGGTCCACTGAACTCAGTCACATAAAAAAACATACCTAATATAATAACAAATGAGTGTGGGCAGCAAGAGGAAGTTATATATGGAAAATAGTGCTGCAGTCTCCAGATTTTATCAGCTAGGAGACAGTTGCCTTTCTGTATCATTTGCCTTTTTATAGTTTAGAGTTAAACAGAGAATACAAATTTGTCCAAGAATTTATCCCTCTTTCTATTAGGAATATTTTCCTTATCCAAGTGATAGGTGTTCTTTTTCTAACTGAAGTTGGTACTTGTTATATGTGAAGTAAAAAACATTGTAGTCTCTGAGGATCACAGGGATTGGAACCATAATGCCTTTTTATCTTTAGAACCTCAGCAAACCGCCATTTCTTCTCTTCTGAGGATTAAGTGTAATCTGATACCAGCAATATCTGATAGAATGTATAGATCAAATGCAGAATTATTCATTTGTACTTCAAACTTAAAATATCAGTTCTGATGATTAGGCTTCCTTGATTCTTCCTTATGCCCAATTTTGTAATGCTTTGCTTAATTAAAAATCTAGCAAACACACAAGCTTGCACTTTGTATTATTCCAAATATTTTAGTTGGTTCTAATAATTTATCATCATTCAGGTGTAACTTTTGGATTTTTGGCCACATATATAGCAAAAGCAATAGCACTTAGACTTTACAGCCCTCTTTAAGTGGTTTACAGAGTCAGCATATTGCCCTCAACAATCTGGGTCCTCATTTTACCGACCTCAGAAGGATGAAAGGCTGAGCTGGTGAAAATCCAACTGCCAAACTGCTAGCAGTCAGCAGAATTAGCCTGCAATATTGCATTCTAACCACTGCACCACCATGGTCTTAAACCTAGCTGTGATTGTTTTTCACATTATTTTAAACTTTCAGTACAGGTGGTCCTTGGTTTATAACTGTTAGCTTAATGATGGCTTGAATTCAATGACTGCTTCTGAAAACATCAGTTATAACCCAGATTTGAAGTTACAACGGTCGATTAATCCCTGCAATCACGTGATTGCAATTTGGGCACTTGGAATTGGTACATTTAAAACCAGTTGCAACAGCCCATGCTCATGTGATCATAATTTGTGAGGTTTTTTGCCAGTTTCCGACAAAAAAAATCTGGGTAAATATACCATTGGTTGAGATGGATTTGTACTTATTGTATGTCCATGTGACTTGACTTATACCAGTAGTAAAAATGATCATCAAATTGGGTCTGACAATTTGAAATTCCAATCCCAATTATCTTGGAAGGTTGAGGACTATGTGTTTTACATTTATGTTGTTCAGGTGATTATGGTATTACAGAGATTCTAATAAGAGCACATGGCCTAAATTGTTCAGCTTGCTTCTTATGACTAAGCTTTTTTTTTGGCGTGCAGATCTTGTTGAATGGCCTTTGTTCAAGTAATTTCTTTAGTCCAGTCAAGCTGTTGATTAATAACTCTCTTTATTGCCCTGTATATAACTTCCGGTTGTCAGCACTTCTCTAATAATATGTTTACTTCTCTAATGACATGTTTAGGGAGGAACACAGCCATAATTTGTTACATATTACTACTCAAGTCCTGGACACAACCTAATAACACAAACATGCATGTTGTGAACTAAATCATTCCTATAGTTTTATACTTGCTACACTTGCTATTAAAACTGCTATGATGGAACCCAATTTACCCAGGAGATTTCTTAACATTCTCCTGAATATGAGAAATGATTCAGAAAAATCAGCAATGCGAAGCAGCTGCCATTATTTCAGGTGTCCTGCCACATGAGCAGGGTTCACTATTAAGCTGATATGTGTTAACTAGGGAAAAGACAACTGAAATGCTTCCTTCTCTGGCTTTCCACTGCCAGATACCAAAATCCAAACATCATGCACTGTTTATAATCATTGAAACTAGTAATAATTGTCAATACGTATCTCCCCCGAGATTGTCCTTCATCTAGTAGTTGGCTAAATATTTTAAAGGTGATTCTACAGTCAGTCTGTATGAATGCAAAATCTGCACATTAGCATATCTCCATGTTTTTCACATGCAGTACAGTATGTATCTTCTTAAATGTTTCACTTGGAATGGACCGCTGAACTAAATAAGTATGTTTTCATGTCCTTTATGTTTTTGAAATACATTAAAAAGATGTTTCATGTTGTTTCAAATAACGCTTAAAATGGCATATTTTTGTGTGGAAAACAAGAAAGTGTGATAGAGGACTAACCTGTAGCTATTTTCCTTAAAATAATTTGTATGATTACGTTTTTTAAAAAAAGGCTACTCAGGCTCTACCATTCAAGAATCAAATACTCTGTGTCTTCATTCTGATTGCTCCAGCTGCTCCTTCCTGCACTGAAACTCCCCTGCAGGGAATGGTAATTGAAGAGGAATATGAAAAACAGCAAACCAGCTTAGAGATGAAGAAACAACTATGTCCCTATGCTGCAGTAGGAGAATGCCGTTATGGAGAAAACTGCGTATATATTCATGGGGATATTTGCGACATGTGCGGCTTGCAAGTCCTCCATCCTGCTGATGCTGCACAGAGATCATTACACATAAAGGTAAGTGGGGAAAATAAGTGAAATATACCTAATTGGCTAACAAAAACCATAGAAACATTTTAATTATTGCAAAAGGTTTCTCAGGTCCAGAAAAGTGCAGAAAAATGATGAGGGAGGATGGAGGCTAAAACGTATTAAGAACGGTTAAAGGAATTGCGTACATCTAGTCTAATGAAAAGAAGGACATATGGGAACATGATAGCACTGTTGCAATATTTGAGAAGCTTCTACAAAAATAAGGGGGGGGTCAAACTATTTTCCAAAGCACCAAAAGAACAAGAAACAATGGATGGAAAATAACCAAGGAGAAAAGCAACCTAGAACTAAGGAGAAATTTCCTAACAGTGAGAGCTATCAACTAATGGAATAGCTTACCTTTAGAAGTGGTGGGTGCTCCATCACCTGAAGGCTTTCAAAAAGAGATTGGACAACCATTTGTCTGAAATGGTACAGAGTCTCCTGCTCGAGCAGGGAGTTGGACTAGAAGACCTCCAAAGTCCATTCCAACTCTATTATTCTATGTTTTATTCTATGTTCTAAATCTTTCTTATCATAGGTCCAAGCAAGTGACTGATGGCCTGGGTATGCTGCTATGCAGAGTTTGGGCAGAATGCTTTAGTGTTAACTGGGGCCAGCACAAAGAAAACTAAAGGAGGGTGATACTGCTCTGTGCCTTGAAAAGGTGTCCCTTCCCCAATCCAATCTAATCCAATATGCTGGAATGTGAATTGGGCCTAATCTGACATTGGGTTGTTCTACAGCAAGTAGTTTTATAGTAAGAGGGCTATTGCAAAGTAAGTCAACTCCAAGTCTCTATCCCCTCCCTTCCCCTAGAGCAGCTCCTCTTAGTTGGACCAAATAGATAGGGAAATTCTACCTGCAGAAAACAGTTCCAAAGATAATAAAGAGACTAAGACATAATAACTAGCACTCTGGAATCGGATTTGAAAACCTACTGGCACCTAGTACTGTCTCCCTGAAGGATAGGGATCATTCGACTAAACTTGCTAATGCAGGTTAGCAAATGGACAGCCAGTGGCAGTTTATGGATCTTACTCAACAAGAACCCCATGTAAAGCAAACTGTTCTGTTATCAGTGCATTCTGATTTAGGTAATATCATACCTGGAAGGTCAGACAAAGCTGATCAAAGGCTCTTCTGGTCATAACAATAGCAATAGCATTTAGACTTATATACCACTTCATAGTGCTTTACAGCTTTTTCTAAGTGGTTTACAGAATCAGCAGATTGCCCCCAACAATCTAGGTCCTTATTTTACTGACTTTGGAAGGATGATAGGCTGAGTCAACCTTGAGCCGGTCAGGATCGAACTCCTGACAATCAGCAGAATTAGCTTGCAATACTGCGTTCTAACCACTGCACCACCACTGCTCATAGCAGCCACCTGCTGCAATAGTAGAAGTGTTTGGTTCAAGAACACTCCCAGATTGTGTGCCTGCTCTTTTGGGGAACACATCCTGTCAAGAACAATATCCATGGATCCCAAATGTTTCTGTACTTACAGTATCTCTGTCTCCCAGGATTCAGTCCTAGTCTGTTCATAAACTGGGGTAAGTTTGAGTACCATTAGTATATTGACGATATGGAACCACAAACCAATGGATTGTGTTTCCCAATAACTTTAGATAAATATTAAGAAAGATGGGGGAGAAGGACAGCCCTAGGGTGTCCTGCAATGAAATGCCAAAGACTTGATCTGTCTTTTTTGGGAAAGGAGAATTGCTGCCAAACTATGCTCCTAGTTGCCAATCCTCAGAGAAGATCCAGAAGGATGCTATGGTCAATGACATTAAATGCCACTAAGAGGTCCAACAGGACCAAGAGAAAAGCACCCTTTAGATCTGTTGCAGAGCAGTTAAAGTTGCTTCTGTGCTGCATGCAGGCCTGAATCCAACTGAAAGGTTTCCAGATAAACTATTTGATCCAGAATATCCAAGCAGCAAGATGGTTTCTGCATTTGATAATTCTTGTTTTCCTAATTGTTCCTTTGAGGAGGTGAGATAAACTACTTGGTGGTATTTTGCTTTCTAAGATAGATTCTTAGAAAATAGAATATTTTTATAACCTGCCATCTGTATGGAAGTAAGTCCCACTGCTTTGTTGATTTTTTTTCTTTGCAGTAGAAAAAGTCATGTTTCTACTGAAAAATAAGCAACTTATAGTAAAACTGTATTTTATTTCAGTATTTTAGCTCTTTCTTCAGGAGAACTAAAAAAAAATCTAAAAACCTAAAAAAAATCCAAAGATAAGGTGCTTTGGATTCTCACTCTTTCCATGCCTAGGGCACTTTATAATCTGAAATACCTAAGGAAAAATGACTTTTGAAGTTGCTTAGTGACAGAGAAGAGCATTGTAGACGTTCTAGACCTCTCAAATGCTTTCATGATGATTTTTCTCCAAATTTGACTTTATGACAGATAGTGTCAGTTTCTTCTCCTTTCCTTCACAGTCTTGCATCGAAGCTCATGAGAAGGACATGGAGCTCTCCTTTGCAGTTCAGCGTAGTAAAGACATGGTGTGTGGAATCTGCATGGAGGTGGTATATGAAAAAGCCAATCCCAGCGAGCGTCGATTTGGGATTCTATCCAACTGCAATCATACTTACTGTCTCAAGTGCATTCGCAAGTGGAGGAGTGCTAAACAATTTGAGAGCAAGATCATAAAGTGAGGCACTTCCCCATGTCCGTTGTGCTTTGTTTCTTGGGGAGAATTAGTATTTTGTGTGAACTGGCAACTTCGTCCCTCTTTCATCCCAAGACTGCATTTAATACATAAGTAATGTTATCACTCAGCATTGAGGGTTTTTTGGATCACTTTTCTGACCTCAGTACTCTTGACTGGTCAGCAAGGTCCACTGAGTTTGAATGTTAAGTCATACTTTTTTGTTGTTGTTAAATGGAAGCAACCTGCTGTTCTGTTGGTTGCTGTACAAAATCACTTGGGTTCAAATGGTGCAAGAGACAGAAACTCCAAACATGTGTTTCTTAAGTCTTTTCTCTTAAGTCTTTTCTCGTTCAATACTGAGCCAGTGGCCCATTCCTTTTTAAAATTTGCTTGGAAAAACAAAACAAAACCAATATGGACATCCAAGAAAACTAAGTTACAAAAATAAATTTATTTATATCTAAAGAAAAATGAGTCTGTGTGTGAAATGTTTTTCCCCTTCATGTTCTTTGAAAACCTCAATAAATGCCTTGGGTGGGGGGTTTGGGGTGGGGGGAGTTTTAAATTGTTTAAGAAATGCAATAGACTGGACAGACATATGATAGACTGCTTGTAAAGGTGGTTGTATGTCTGTACTGGGAATGGCGCCCCTGTCATGTAGAATTTTGCAGTGCAGTCTGTTCGTTTCCCAGGTCCTGCCCAGAATGTCGGATCACATCTAACTTTGTCATTCCAAGTGAGTACTGGGTGGAGGAGAAGGAAGAGAAGCAGAAACTCATTCAGAAATACAAGGAGGCAATGAGGTATGAGCATTGCAGCCTCGAACCGAATTTGACTGCAGAGGTTAAGCACGTACATGGAGAAAAGTGTTATCTGAAGTCCTCTCATGCCTCCTTCCCACCCCACCCTATGAGATGCATCTTTAACCATGAGCAGATGCATGCTGCGTACACAAGTAACCTTTGTGCCAAATAGCCTCATGTGCTGTTCCCTTGTCCACTTGGTTACAATTTAGTCATAAATAATAGCACATTTTATTCTGGAGTGTTTCCTCTGCATGCACCTATCCATGCGCACACCTTTTCAGTATGCACATCCACATAATCCACTGTGTTAGGTATGTTAATTAATTTAACATGGTTTCCACAACAAGCAATCTTTCTTTTTAAAGAAAAAGTCACCTGGCTTATAAAGCAAATACAGTACTGAAATCTGATTGGCTATGCTGTGAGTAAGGGTTGCGATATTTTCCTTTCCAGCAACAAGCCATGCAGGTATTTTGATGAAGGCCGTGGGAGCTGCCCATTTGGAGGGAACTGTTTTTACAAACACGCATATCCTGATGGCCGCCGAGAGGAGCCCCAAAGGCAGAAAGTGGGAACTTCAAGTAGATACAGAGTAAGTCCCACTGCTTTGTTGATTTTTTTTCTTTGCAATAGAAAAGTAAGTTTTGAATTAGGCTTTTGAAGATAGCTGAATAAAAATTATTTGGAACTACAGGATGGGGAGGGGGCATCAAAATAATAACTTTGTGAAGCAAAAACTTCATAACCTCTTGTGATTTTTTTTCCTGCACCCTTTTTTGACAGTTTTTAATCATAATCAGCCTAAAGTCCAGGATCATATAATGGGCATGTTTATATGTAACATGGCCAAATCAGAGCAGTGCCAATACCATATTTTTATATTGAATGAATGGCTGACTTGAAAGGCTGACTTGAAAGAATAGTTGATGATTATTGTGAAATATGCATTGATCTACATAAATGTTAGTTTAGTGCTACATAAAATAATGTATCTAGTCCCCTTTAATTATAAAATGGTGGATAATGATGTAGCTTTAATATTTTTTTTTTATTTTAAGAAGGATCTTCCCTTGAATGCAATTGTATCAAGATTAGCAAAAGAGTCTTCCCACCAACTCTAAATTAATAAGAAAGTAAGAAGACCTGACTGTAGACCACCCACAAGACTGCAACCTATTAGGTCTGCATTGTGGTCAGCTAAGGACTTGATTATCCCCTTCCATCATCTCTTGTTTGGTGTTTCTTGAAACGGTTGAAAACGGATCCAAAGGTACCTCCCGTTAGGTAGATGGCAATTTGCAGGCTTGTTATAGTGTTACTGTGTTTGTCTGTTTTCAGACTTCACCTCTGAGACAGAGGTACACCTTGCATGCAAGTATGCAAAAATCTCTGCCCAACCAATAAAAAAAGTTGTAAAAAATGTCAGGATCATGGTTATATTTTTGTGATCCTAATTTCTTGCATGGGTACCTGCAGAGTTTTTTTCTTTGACTTTCAGACACTGATAGCATTAGCAAGGCAATCTTGATACCCAACCTTGGCAACTTTAAGACTTGTGGACTTCAACTCCCAGACTTTGAAGTCCACAAATTGAAGTCCACAAGTCTTAAAGTTGCCAAGGTTGAGGACCCCTGCCCTAAATAATCCCCCTCAGTCGAAAGATACCAAGCTTTCCCAATTTTATTCAGTATTTGAGGAACAAGGAGTATTGGAGCACTAGCTGTAGGAATCATCTACACCAGAGAACTGGGTTTGTTTGGGGAATGGCGGCTCGTGTGAGGCCAGTAATTCTGCTCTACTTGTAGGCTCAGCGAAGAAACCGGTTCTGGGAATTCATTGAAGAGAGGGAGAGCAGCGATCCCTTTGAGAATGATGAGGATGAGGTGGTGACCTTTGAGCTGGGTGAAATGCTTCTCATGTTGCTGGCGGCAGGAGGCGATGATGACCTAACAGACTCCGAGGATGAATGGGACTTGTTTCATGATGAGCTGGAAGACTATTATGACTTGGACCTATAGCACATCTTTGTGGTGTCTGGACTGTCTGCTCCATTTTTTTCCCCCTCCCGGGCAGCAGCTCTTTTTCCTGTGGTGTTGTGGCAGTGCCTGTGTTTTTCTCCTAGGCAGGCCTATCAATTCCAGGCGCTGCTGTTGTAATACCTTCCCCCCCCCCCAAGCCCTCAAAATCTGTCTCTTTTCCCCTCCCTCCATCCTGTCCTCCTTTCCAAGCCCTAGGAGTGTGTTTCTTTTTCTGTTAAACAAATGACATGAAATAAACCTTTAAAACGTTAGGTTTTTTTTTTTTTTTGTAAAAATGAATTTAACTGTCAGACAGTTAGATTAGACTTGTTGCTTTATATCTGTGTTACTGACAGGATTCACCCAGTTCCAGGGTTCAAATGTTTACAGGACTTCCACACTCATCTTTCAAGAGCCCAGATACAAACTTGAGAACACTGGCTGTACGGCGGGGGGGGGGGGGGGATGGGCAGAGGTTGGCCAACTGCCTTGTTCCACAATAAGAAACTCTGAAAACCAATTTTCCTACTTCAGATTTCAGGCCAGCACCTATTTTCTTGGCTGGCTTTAGCTCCATTCCAACCCCCCCCCCCACCTTATGTACATGTGTTCATTTGTGGTTTTGGTCTCTTGTTTACTTGCACATTTACTATTTACTACTGTGTAACCAGAACCAGGTGCGAATGTTCCGGTTTTTACTGTTTGGCATGAAAGGCAAATGTGTTTGTGTGTGAAAGGAGAACTTTCTATGTATGTATATACAAATAAAATACAGAGTTGTATCCCAAGGGCTGGGCAACTTGGTATATGTGTGTATTAAACCCTTTTCCTCTATTCTCTCATCCCCTTCTTTACACAAACCTTTTGGTGCATGATATCTTAACATTCAACTGGATTTTGAAATGAATGTTGTGGTCTCAGCAAATTCTGTGGAAATGGTCTTTAAAACAACTAATAGAGTAGACACTTCCTTATTGACACCAGCACTCCATTCTCTTCCTAGTCATCCTTTTACTCCTATTGGGTGTATCTGAGTCACACAGGTGTAGGAATATTGTTAGCCAGAATTTGGACCAAATTATCCACTTATTGGGGTTTTTGTGTTCTCTTCATCTTTACAAAGTTGTAGAACAGTGTGATAATTAATCAGAGTTAAAACAATGAAATTCCTGTCTCTCTTAGAAGGATCCTTGTTGCTTGGCAGAGTACCTGAGTGGGCTTAATAGCTATACAACATGCATGCTGCTACTTTATTCATAGAAAAAGCAGTCAGGCACCAGTTCTCCTAGGAAGAACTCCTGATGTCATCAAAATCTTTCTCCCTCTTTTCCTCTCCTCTCTTGAAAGGAATTTTAACTTTCATTACATTTAATGCTGCTGGGTTGTCCTTGAATTGTTCTGCTTATGTCCTTTTAGATTGCATTTCCTTTCATTTTTAAATGGAATCAAAATATGTTGCTGAAGACTGTGTTACTTTGCAGCTGCCTTTTGTAAGAAGCACTTTTCCCAAATAAAAAAGCAAAAAAAAAAGTATGATCTCTGTATTCTTGAGATTTCATTGAGATGGGGGAAAATCCATTCAGGAAGAGAAAATGTATTTTCTGAATTTTGCAGCAACGTGGATATCAGCCTCAATTTCTATTTAAACACTATAATAAATATAGTGATATAAGGTAGTCCACCATATAAATCTCCCTGGATTAGTAGATTAGTACTATTAATTTTTCCTATGGATCTTCCAAGTTGTCACTGAGACTTAAGCCTTATTAGCTCTGAAAGAATCAGATGCTTTGTTTAATGGGTGTATTTGTGCTCAGTGTAAGATTTGATCCTAGTAAACTATTACTGGGTCAATTAAATTGACCCAGTAATAATTAATGTGTTCCAAACCTGATTTCTTCTACCCTCTTACCATGCTTCTGTACCATGTTAATGTAAATAGCCATTAAAGACATTACTTCCTCATTCACCTTTCATTATTTTAGGGCCAGAACTTTCTTCTATCTAGTTTATTCCCATAACAATACATACTTCATCAATGATGGAAAAGTCCCTTATTTATTAGAATCTTCATTTTACCTTAAAATCATGTAAAAAGGAAAGGCTTTTAAATATATATCAGTAATAGTTATAGTTATTCAATGCTAGTTAGAGAACCAACCTTTCTCTTTAAAACAGGGCAATTCAGCAACAAACTTGGGCATGGATAATAGGAAATAAAACGTCAATAAATACATACTAAATTTTCTTATATTATAAAAATGTAAATCTGAGTATAATGAAAAGAAATTTGACTTTAAACCAAAGATTAAAGCATCAAAACTGTACAGAGGCAGGCCTTCCCCGAACCCATACCTTCCAGATGTGTTGGGACTACAGAATGCGTAGCATATCTGGAGAGCTGATTTAGTGATTATTTCATTTCTTCCCTTAATGCTTTTTTATCAAGTTGGCAAGCACAAAAAGCACTTAATCAAAATAGAGAACTCACAGTCTCTCTCTACTTTAAGAAATAAATTTAGAATTATTTCTTAAGAAATGCCTTGTTTGGGAATGCAAGTAAAAGGAATCACAAAGACCCCAAACAAGAGAACTCAGTTCTTTGATTATTAATACCATGGCCAGTGAGATCAGTCTTCCCATAATCAAGTAGTAAAAAATTTACCACTAAGCTATTGCAAAGCTGTACATTGACAAATGCCTTCCAGTAATTTTGAAATGTTGCTATATTGACTTACTGAAAACATACTAATAAATTATGATTAAATATTAAAAGCTACTGCTATTATTTAAAAAAGCTACTGTACAGTATACAGTTTATCATATTTATGGTAACTGAAAAATGCACTATGTTAATGCTTGTAGTTTCAGTATATTTCTGTATTCTAAGCCTTGTTTTGTGGAACCATCTCTAAGTAGTTGTTACACATGCTGGAAAACAATGACATAATTGAAATCAACATTTCATTTCACTACAGAATATTCTCCATGAAATCTTTTAGGTATACCACTTGACCACCACAGTCATTCATTGGTAATCTGTGGATTGCACAAGGTCAATCAGTTAAGGAAGCCAAAACACACACTAAACAAGATTGCCCTGTTAAACATCTATTTAAACAGACATTGTTATAGTAATCTGAGACAGGAAACTGACTAGACAGAGGCATTTCTTAGATAGGTAGCAAAGCCCTGCAGAACTTGTTTTGTACTTGTTTAGACTGCTATTTAAAAAAAAAAAAGATTCAGTATTTACCCACAATAATTTGATTCAATTGCTACCAACAATTCTATTATTCCTGAACTAAACACAATATATACAGTACAAGAAACCCACCATTTTTTTCATAGCCACCAATGAAAGCAGCCAGAGACTGATAGAAGCAAATGGCTTATCAGAAGTATTCACAGACAATCTTCTCTGTATCAGCTCATGTCTGCCAAAAAAGTCCTTCATCCAGTGCTACTTGGTGCCCATACAGCTTGTTGCTGACCAATGGAAACAAGAAATCTTCTATTTCCAAAGAACGACATACAGCAACAATGGCATGGCATCAGGATGATACAGTGAGACTACACGGAAATTCTTGTAATGGAAGAGAGCATTGGAATATGTAGCCTTTGATCAACATGAACAGTTGGATGTCTCAGTCTGTGAAACCAACACTGGCCTAGAGTCCAGATGAATGTTGTGTGAAGATCCATTCTCCCCATGAAGTTGTAAGGTATTCCTAGCCATCAGTTCCTTAGCCATCAAGATAAAAACCTCATCAATATTTTGGGCCTCCTTAGCTGATGTCTCCAATACAGCCAGAAGACCATGTTTCTCTGCCAATGTGCAAGCATCTTCAAACAGGACTTGCCGTTTCTCTGATTCATCTGATTTGTTCCCTTTAAATTGGATTAAAACCATTTTTAGATTTCCAGTGGATAGATGGGGCAAATAAATGGATCAAGGGAAAAACTATGAAGCAAACCAAGAAGCATAGCATTCTTAGGCCATCTCCTTGCTCCTCCTTCCACAATGGTCCTCGCTCCCACTTTCCTGTTGCTCAGCACCCTGATCCTCAGAGCATTACTCTGAGGATCATAGGCAGCACACACTTTGATGATATGTCATAAAATTATTTCATGAATGATACAAATGTCATAAGCAGTTGTGTGTGCAACTGATGCAAATTTACACAGTATGCATCATTGTAGCATGACACACAGTGTCATTTGAAGTAGAGGTCCCCAACCGGGCCATGACATAGCAGTAACTGGGCCACGAACACAAGTGAAGCGCCATCCGCGGGATGCAGGCAGCACACAAAACCACACCCCCTCTGGTCCACAGAAAAATCTTTCTCCACACAACTGGTCCCTGGTGCCCAAAAGGTTGGGGGCCTTTGGTTTAAAGCTCCCAGTCCCACAGGTATCTATGTTGAGGATTCTCAAATGACACACTCTGAACAGCCATGGCAACAGCTTGCCGTATGCTGAGGACCACTTCTATGGCCACCCACTTCTATGGGTGGCCATAGAAGACAATACGATACAGGCATGGCAGTCCTTGACTTGTGACCACAATTAAGTCCACAATTTCTGTTGCTAAACAAGGCATTTGGTAAGTGAAGTTTGCCCCATTCTGTCACACTTCTTGCCACAGTTGTTAAGTGAATCACTGCAGTCATTAACTTAGTAACATAGTTGTTAACTGAATCTGGCTTCCCCATTGACTTTGCTTGTCAAAGGTCGCAAAAGGTGATCACGTGACCCTGGGACACTGCAATCGTGATAAATATGAGTCAGTTGCAAAGCGTCTGAATTTTAATCACGTGACCATGGGGATGCTGCAATGGTAGGGAGTGTTAAAAACAGCCATAAGTCAGACTTCCGGTACGGAGCGACAGCGATGGCGGCTATCTTTTAGCCGTCCAGCTGGGAAAGTGTCAGAGCCGCGGAGCACAGTGTGCATCAGCTGGTCCGCGGCTCGGAACTCCCTTCCCGGGCAAAGGGAAGGGACAGAGAGTGCAAGAGTAGAGGTAGAACCCCTGAACCCTCTCTGGATTTAATCCTAGAGAGGGTGAAAGGAGTGTTCCCTCGGAGCTCTTGCTGTCTCCGCCTCCCAGCTGTTTTTGCTTCCTAGGAAGCAAAAGAAACTGCCGCTTCTATCTCCGTGCTTATAGAGAGTTGGTGAGTAATTCCTAAAAAACGGACAGAGCAGTTTAAAGGATTTTTTCTTATATAATTTAGGTGTTTATTTTTTTTTATTTAGTTCTGACTATTTCTCCTTTTTTTTTTTATTATTGTGGAGAAGGAATTAAGATGGCGTTTTGAAAGTGACGGAGTTTTTTTTCCTTGTCTTTTGTTTCACTTTCTCCTGTTTCACTTTCTCCTGTTAAGGACTGGACTTTACTTTTGCTTTTGGTATTGAATCCTCTTTTTTGATTTTCTTTTTCTTTTTGGTTTTTTTTCTCTGGATTTTCAAGGATTATAGTGTTTTTGCTGCCTCTTTTAAAAGTAAAATTTTTCTCTCTTTCCCCCTCATTTTTTTGGGGGGGGGGAAAGGGAAGTGAGAACTGTGTTATTTAAAATGGCTTCAAAGAGACAGCTGCCTTCTACAACATCCAAGGTGATTTCCTCTCCTATAGCTTCTACTGCACAACCACAACAACAACTTAAACATGCACCACCGGCACAGCCACCACCCTCCCCTCCTTTGCCTGGACTTTCAGCACAAGAGGCTAGAGGTATAATGGGAGAGGCTGTAGCTCAAATGAGAGAGGAAATGAAGCAACTTTCTACACAGCTTAAATCAGAAATTAAATCTGACTTCAAAGAAGAGATAAGTGGGATGAAGGATCAATTGGAAAAGAACAATAATATTTTGTGACAAGATATACTTGCAGCAGTCTCAGGTTTGGCTACAGTGGTGGTTAAGCTGAATGCAAGACTCAAGGAAGTTGAAGATAAAGTTGATTCCTTTGATGATAAAATTCAAGATGTGGAAAGGAAGGTGGAGACTTCACAAGAAGATATTCTGATGTTTCAGTATAGGCAGATGGAATATGCTTTGAGGATTAGAGGCCTCAAGGAAGATATGAATCAAGATCTGATGGAGGTGGTTCTTACTGATTTGGCTGTGGTTTTGGACATGGACAAAGAAGAATTACGCAGAGAAGTTGAAAAAGTGTACAGGCTTAACTCTTGGATTGCTAAGCAGAAGAATTTGCCTAGAGATGTGGTGATTTATTTTACGAAGAAGTCTCTGCGTAATGAGATCTTACAAGCCTTTTATAATAAAAGATTTCAGATAGCTGCCCAAGATGTCATTATACTAAAGGAAATCCCATCAAAAATTTTAAGAAGCAGGAAAGATTTTGCTTTCTTAGCTAATGAGCTTAAAGCTAGATTGATGCCATTTAGATGGGAAATCCCGATGGGTATTGTTCTGAGCCATGCGGGGACACGTTATAGATTGAATACGGTTGATAAAGCTAGAGAATTCTATACTTCAGTCCTAGGTGCAGGCTCAACTTTACCTGTTCAGAAATCCCTGAGTGGCAAAGAGGCGGAGCAGCAGTCTGAGGCATTAAGTTCGGTTTCTGCTGGGATGCTGCAAGCTGAATGGCAACGCCAGACGGAGGTTAAAGAGCAGAGAATGACTCGTGCAGCTTATAAACGTAAAGAGAAGGAGCAACGTAAGAAAGAGGCCAAAGAGATTTCTCCTGGAAATGTATCACCGCCGGTGGGAGGAGCAAGACCCAAGAGTCATGCAACACATGTTGCAATTTCAGATCTCCAAGGTGTCTTCTCCAGGCTGCGGGCCAAGGGAGATGGCAAAGTTTTTGACCTGGAATGTTAATGGATTGAATTCTCCTCAGAAAAGGAAAAAAATCTTTTATTATTTGAAGCAACATAATAATGATGTTATTTGCTTACAGGAAACTCATATTTTACTTAAGGATCAGAAATATTTAGTTAATGCCCATCTGGGATCTCACTTCGTATCTTCTGCTCCCGGGAAGAAGGGGGGAGTTGTTATTTATGTCAAGCAAAATCTACCAGTTTGTCTGGTGGAGTCTGACCCCCAAGGGAGATATGTGATGGTTGAATTGGGCTTATATGGTAAGAAAGTACTTATAGTGGGACTATATGCACCAAATCAGCAACAGGAACAATTTTATAGACTCTTACATGAAAAAATAAATCTGCTGGACTACAGATCCGTGGTATTAATGGGGGATTGGAATGGTGTTTTAGACGTACAAAGGGACAAAAAAGGCTCTTCTCCTCTTTTTAAGCAGGCAAAATTACCTAAAGCCTTTTTTGATATGAAAGAGGACTGGGAATTACGGGACTATTGGCGGGAATGTAATCAAGAGGAGAAAGACTTTACCTTCTTTTCAGATAGACACCAATCCTTCTCAAGAATTGACTTCTTTTTGATTACAACGGACTTATATAATAGAGTAAAGAATGTCAAGATTTTCCCTAGGTCTTTGACGGATCATAGTCCAGTTTGGATGGAGTTGACTCAAGAAAAAGAGGAGAGAAGATCCTGGAGGGTGAATGAGAATTTATTTAGACAAGAAAAAAATGTTCAGAAACTAAAGGAGTGTTTAAAGGATTACTTTGTTTTGAATATGTATAAGGGGACTTCAATGTCAATGGTATGGGATGCAGGGAAAGCATTTATGCGTGGGATTTTGATAAAAATGAATAACTGTCATAAGCAAAAACAGATTCAGAAACGTAAAGAATTGGAAGATGAAATTAAATTAAAAGAAAAGTCTTTGATTTTAAATCCTTCTGATGAAAGTATTAAAGAATCTTTAAAGTTGTTAAGAACACAATTTAATATGTTGTTAGCAGATCAAGCTGCAACCAATTTATTGTTTATGAAACAAAACACATTTTGTAATGCTAACAAGCCAGGGAGATGGTTGGCTTATCAGTTGAGAAAGAAACAGAGACAGAGAACAATAGATAAAATAAATTACAAGGGTAAATTAGTTTCTCAGAAGGAATTGATTAAGAAATCTTTTTTGGATTATTATCAAAAATTATATAAATCTACTAATGTGCAAATTTTAGAGATAAATAAATACTTAAGTGAGGTTAGTTTCCCTAAATTGACAGAGGATCAGAAACATGAAGTTAATGGTTTAATTACTAAGGAGGAAATTTCGCTAGCAATTCAACAATTGAAACCAAGGGAAAGCACCGGGTACGGATGGGTTAACAGCTGTTTATTATAAAGCCTTACTGGAGGAGATGACTCAACCATTAGGTGATCTTTTTAATGGCATTTTACAGGGTCAAGAGATTCCTCCCTCATGGCGTACTGCTTTTATATCATTGATTCCAAAGGAAGATCAAGATCTTACTTTACCTAAGAATTATAGGCCTATATCTCTTTTAAATGTGGATTACAAGATATTTGTAAAAATCTTAGTAAATAGGCTTATGAGGGTTGTGCACCACCTTGTGCATAAAGATCAATCTGGGTTCATAACTGGAAGGTATATGAAAAATAATGTCAGACAAATTATTAATTTATTAGAATATTTAGACAAAAACAACCAAGTTCCTGCAGGGCTGATATTTTTAGATGCTGAAAAAGCTTTTGATCAATTGAATTGGCATTTTATGTTAAGAGTAATGGAAGAGATGAATTTTGGTGAAAAGATATTGCAAGCTCTTATGGTAATATATCAAAAACAAACGGCACAACTTATCGTTAATGGAGGTTTGTCAGAGGTTTTTACAATAGAGAAAGGTACTAGACAGGGCTGCCCATTATCACCGCTGCTGTTTGTCTTAACACTGGAAATACTGTTGATCAAAATTCGAGAGTCGCAGGAAATTAAAGGAATAGAAGTTAATAAAAAAGAGTATAAGTTAAGAGCTTTTGCGGATGACTTGGTTATCACTTTGTCGCAACCTACTTATTCTGTAGTAAAATTATTACAGCTGATTCATAATTATGGTTTGGTTTCGGGTTTTAAGATTAATGTTAATAAGACAAAAATTTTACCTAAAAATATGACTAGTCGGGAGAAGCAGACTTTGGTTAACTTGACGGGTTTTGAAATTGTTAATAAGGTAAAATATTTGGGGGTGATGCTATCTGTTTCTAATGCAAAATTATTTAAAAATAATTATGAAAGGTTGTGGGTTAGGGTACAGAGAGACTTGAAGAATTGGGAAAAGTTGCAATTATCCCTCATGGGAAGAATTGCAGTGATAAAAATGAATATTCTACCCAAGTTTCTCTTTTTGTTCCAAATGATACCGATTTTGAAGAATGAGATCAATTTAACTGAGTGGCAGAAAGGCCTTAATAAATTTATTTGGGCAGGGAAAAAGCCAAGGGTTAAGTTTAAAATTATGCAAGATTTCCGTGAGAGGGGAGGACTCAAGGTGCCGAATTTGAAATTATATTATGATGCGGTGGTTTTAACATTAGTTAGTGACTGGGTAAATTTGACAAATTCTGATATACTTCACTTAGAGGGATGGAATTTACTTTTTGGGTGGCATGCCTATTTAATATTTAATAAAAAAATGGATTGGGCTTTTAAATCTCATATCTTAAGAATTTCTTTACTTAGGGTTTGGAGAAAATATTACAAAAGTGATTTTAAAGTACCATTATGGGCCGTACCTTGGCATGCAATAGAAGGAATAAAAAGAGGGGTTAAAATGGATATGGTGTCCTATAGACAGTTACTTAAATGGGATGGACAAAACTGGCAGTTAAAATTACGGGAATGTTTTATAGATGGCACCTTGATCCACAAAAAATGTCTTTTATGTACCCTGACTTACAACCTAAATGTTGGAGATGTGGTTGTATGGATGCTACTTATTATCATATTTGGTGGTCGTGCAGAGAGATAAAAGCATTCTGGATTAAGATATGGTGGAATATCCAGAGAATTTTTAAAAGGAGGGTAAAATTTACTCCACAATTATTTTTGTTAGGTATAGTTACTGATTGTGACACAAAGGAGGTTATATTGATGTTAAACTTGATAACAGCTGCGAGGCTGTTAGTAGGACAATATTGGAAGAAGGAATCTTTGCCTACATTGCAGGAATGGTTTCTTAAAGTGTCTCATTTGGCGGAAATGGCAAAGATTTCGGCTTTCTTAAAGGGACAAACGCAAGAGAAATTTCTTGCTGTTTGGGATAAATGGATAAAATTCATACAATTTAAATTTGATATAAAAAATATTATATAGTTTTTTCATAATTTTTAACTTTATATATATATATATATATTTTCTATTTTCTATTCTTTTTTTATAAATTTTTTTAACTTTTTCTTTAATTAAGCCTATATTCTGCTCTGGGAGGTCCTGGGGGGGGAAGGGGGGTTTGGGTAGGGGTGGGGGAAGGGGGGTTTTGTTGGGTAATGTTTGTTTTTTATTTGTATATGTTGTTTTTTGTTTTTGTATTGTTTTTTATTTTTTGTAAAATTTATAAAACTCTTTAATAAAAAAAAAAAAAAAACAGCCATAAGTCACATTTTGCAGTGACTTATGTAACAGTTTTGTAATTTCGATTGGTCACAATGAACTGTTGTAAGTCGAGGACTACCGTACTTCAGAGAGGTGTACATTTTTAAAATGCAATAAACTGCTCTAGAGGCTAGTTGGAAGAATAGAGGGTAGAGAATTGCCCCAATTCGTTAGCCATCTCACCTGATCAATCCAAACAGTTGCATATTCCATAAAATGGAAGGCTAGCCCTGTGTATTTCATACAGCTAGATTTGGTCCCTAAGTTATCTAGCCACAAGACAGGTATAGTATATAATGCATTTAAGGAAGTTTTCTTCTTTTCTGGTTTTGGATTAACAATATTTTATTTTTATTTTACTGTTCTGATTCATCTATCAAAATGGCCTCTTCCTACCTAATATTAGGGCTGCCCCCAAGAAATTCATACAATAATTATTGGTCATTTAATTGTCTAACCCAAGGGTCTTCAAACTTGGCCCTTTTATGACTTGTGGACTTCAACTCCCAGAATTCCTCAGCCAGGCGTGTTGAAGTCCACAAGTCATAAAAGGGCCAAGTTTGAAGACCCCTGGTCTAGCCCTATGATATTCATATTTTATCACAAAAGATGCTGTTTTTTTCTCTATTGACTAGATTGAACAACAGACTCATTATAATTCTTAATGTTTTGACAAATAAGACATCATCTTGATTTTAGTATTTTACCTAGAATTCGTTACTTTGTAGCTAAGAGGATTCATGTGCTAACAAGGTAAACTTAGAACTGCATTTCTTAAAACACTAAGTCAATAACTGGGAAATTTTTTTCTTAAGATGTTTATACAATGTCTTCCATATTTCTTGCCCACCAATTCTGTTTCAGTAAAATAAATATTATTTCCCCCCCCCCTTCGTTTTAAAAGGAACTCTCAAACTTTCTAACTAAGAGAGGAAGAGATGAGATAGACTTCAGAACTTACCAATCAACATTAAGACCAGGTTTGCTGCACCAAATTTTTCAATTTCATAAATCCAATGAGGAATAGACTCAAATGTAGATCTTCTGGTTATATCGTAGGCAAGAATAGCACCATGGGCACTGCGATAATAACTTTGAGTTATTGTGCGGAAGCGTTCTTGGCCTGCAGTATCCCATACTTGTATCTGAAATTGGGAGGAAATGAAATACAGGCAGAAACAGAAATGGTTTCTCAAAATACCTAAATGCTATAAATTGTTGCTCAGCCACAACTCCTCTATCATGGCCTTGTGTAACTATATTTACAGTAAAATCCATAACATATATATATATATATATATAATATATATATAACTGCATTCAAAGCTTTCCCTGACTTGCATACTCCATATCAGTGCTTTTTTTGTAAGAAAAAAGGTGCCGGAAGTCACATGTTGTTAATCACAAGCCAAGCAGTGCCACAAGCTGAGCAGTGCCATCACAACCAGTGTGGACGAAGTATGCATGCATTAGACTCGACACACAAGCAGCCCGCATGCACCGTTTTAATGAATTTCCTGCCGACCTGCTACGTTTGACAGGGCAATTCAAGTCCACATGGACCAAACGTCAAATTTTCAAAAGTTACTTTTAAAACTTGGAAAGTATGTTGAAAAAAGGTGCTGGAACTCTGCTCCGGTGCATTCTATGACAAAAAAGCACTGCTCCAGATGTTTGGGAATGACCAAATATTATCCCAACTGTTGCTGTAGAAAAGATGCTGCCAAATTATTTTTATACTAGCCTTCTCTGGATCTGGAAAACTCGCCTGGAATTCCTGCCTCATATGATTTCCCAACTTCTGAGATTTTCCCCATTCCAAGACATGATGAAGCCATGACTTATTCCCTTCCCCAGTCTTTAGAAATGCTTGGACATACACTCTACTGTTTTCTTGGCCCAGTCATTGAGGTTATAAGGTTATAAATAAGGATGAGAATGGGTCATTGGCTAGAATTCAAGTTTTACCTCTCCTCCACTGCCCAGTGAAACTGCCTTCTTCCCTTTCTCATTACCCAAAGCCCAGGGAGCAGCTACAGCAGGGGTAGGCAACCTTGGCTATTTTATGACTCGTGGACTTCAACTCCCAGCTGGCTCAGGAATTCTGGGAGTTGAAGTCCACGAGTCATAAAAGAGCCAAGATTGCCTACCCCTGAGCTACAGGGATATTCATACAATGGCATGAAAGTGCAGGAAAGATGAGAAGTCTGATGCTAATGGCTGGGTGGAAAAATTCTATCAATCATCAAAAGACACAGTAGAGGACTATATTGCTCACCTTCACCTTTTTGCCATCAATTTCCAGGGAACGCACTGTAAAGTCAACCCCAATAGTGTTCTGCTGCTTTGTATGGTATTGTCCTGACTTGAAGCGATGGACCACACATGTCTTCCCCACATTTGAGTCTCCGATGAGAATGATCTTGAACAAGTAGTCAAAGGCATCATCCATCTCTACATTGGTGAAAGCCATAATATTCTAGAGATTTGAGAACTTTGGCCCTAGATTAATGGGGGAGGGGAGAGAAGAATGAATCAAATAGCAAACCAACATAAATTTTAAAACCTAATTAAATTACCAGTCACTTAAATAGTTTTGATAATTGGGTACTGCTCACAAATGATGCATTCCTTTTCTGATTTAGCAGATTCGGTGCTTTTGTAAAACAAACAGACTTCTTAGCTACTACAGATGGTCCTTGTTTTAACAACCACTTGTTCAACGACGCTTCAAACTTTTGAGGACAATGAACAAGTGGTAGTTATGACTAGTCCTCAAAGTTCTGGCCACTGCAACACCCTTATGATTACATGATTTTGATCCAGGGACACAGGAATCAGCCCAGATTTCTCCCAGTCATGTGAATGCTATTTGCAACCTTCCTTGCAGCTTCCAATAAGTAAATTCAATGGGGAAGCTGGCAGAAATATGGAAGTCACAATCACGAGGTCTTCACTTAAAAACCCACACTTAATAACGGTAACCAGACACTGCTGGAACTGCCATTGCTAAGTAGCATGGCCACGTGATATCATGCTTTATGACTGCATCACTCAGCAACAGAAATTCTGGTTATAATTATCATCATTAACTAAGGACTTATCGATATTCCTAAAGTCAACAGAAAAATTTCACCACCCCAGAAATACCTATAGCAAAAATGGGGAAGATGAGGTTTGCCAGAGGGTTTCCATCATTCTTCCACTGTGGCTGCTTTCCTAGCTGCAAAATTGTGTGGCAATTCAACTCTCTTATTGAAATCCATCTTCTTTAGAATGAGGCCCTACAGGCTACTGCAGTGGTACGTTGAAGAAGCTGAGTCTTTTAGCCTACTCCTGAAATCAGTGCTTGCAAAATCTAAGCTTGTCAAGATTTAACCTTTTCTTTAACAGGAACCTTCAAATAAGATTGCAGTGTTTCCCATTTAACTAAATTAAATAATACAATTGGACAAACTCCCCATCCCCATCATATATTAAATACAGCAGGATTTTTGTTTTGCTTTATGCCTTCAGATCAATGTTGAACTGGACTACTCTCTGAAATCTGTGCAGTTTGTATACATATTGGCAAGATTTTGGAAGTAGTTCACCATTGCCTCCTTCCTAGGGCTGAGAGAGGGTGACTGAGAGAGAGCGACTAACCCTAACTCTAGGTCACCTAGATGGCTTTTTGCCTATGACAGAATAAGAACTCATGGTTTTCAAACCTAGTGCCTTAACATCAGATTGGTTCTCTATCACATGTATCTCATGTTAATATTAAAATATTGTACAGGAAGGAAGAAAGGAAGGAAGGAAGGAAGGAAGGAAGGAAGGAAGGAAGGAAGAAAGAAAGAAAGAAAGAAAGAAAGAAAGAAAGAAAGAAAGAAAGAAAGACTCAATCAAAATTCCATTGGATTTTCTGGAATTTTCCCACCAGCTGATGGTTGTAAATAGACAGACAGACAGACAGACAGATCATTTTGGGGGGGGGGAATTAAAAACCTAGTATTTATTTTTCAAATTCATCAACAGAAATAGAGCTAGAAAAGGAGAAGTAATCCTTCTCTTAATATGTATTTGAAAAAAACACTCCCAATCAATCAACTTTGCTGGGAAACATTTTTAGAAGACAGGCAATATTATTAACAGAAAAATAAAATTATTAGATGAGAATATTGTACTATACTGGTACCACCACTTAAGAGGCCTTGCTTCTTATTTTCTTTCATAGTGGAAACTGAAGCAGTTTTCAAGGTATTCAAAAAAAAAAAAAAATACTCAGGAGATGGTGGGATTTTTTTTTTTTTTTTTTTTTTTGTGCATGTGATCCTCCAGAGAATTCTCCTTATCATCACCCTATCCGCATTCTGCACCACAAACTAATTACAGGATAGGTCAATACCATTTCACCTCAGCAATGGAGACAGTCCTTTGAGAAAGATAACTCAAAAACACACTTACTTGGAGGGTGATAGCAAGACAATGAAAAGTTTAAAAGAGCCTAGTGCTGCTAGTGTTACTGTTTGTTATTATTATTGATCAATATAATTAAGCAGTCACAAAAGTCCCAGAGATTCTTTTACTTTTTCTGAAGAAGAGAAAAGTGGTATAGTAGACTCAGCAGAACTACAGTTGCTCTTTTGTATTTTTTTTTTTTAAAGGAAACAGACTATGGGCTGCATTAGAGAGAATCATAAAACTTAAAGAGGAAGGTGAAAAATAACTCTATTGACTGATCCTGGGAGACTCAAAGATCAAAGTGACAGAGGGCACCCAAAGAGATACCATGCAACCATTCTACCACCTCAGATGTTTAGAAAGCTGAGATATTTTTCACTTAACTTTGTAACCAACATCTGATTTTGCACAAGTGCTTCCCTTTTTCTTTCCCTGTCTGTGCATCAAAAATCAACAAAACAGATGCTGTTGCTTAAGGTTTCCTGTAGCACTGTGGACACTCTGTTAAAACCACTTACATACAGCCAGACCCTGGTAACCATCCAGCAATGCTATTTGGGAGCGACTAATACTGTGGTCCTACCTAAAACATATCACAAGAATCCTGTCTGCAAATTATGGGCAACTATTGTGAGGAGTATAGGCAGCTGTTCTTGATACCTCTATTTCAACATGTAATAGAAAAATGATAATCTACTTTCAGTCAGATGTTGCACCAATACTGCAGAGTTAGGAGTCAACCTATTCTCCAAACACCTGAGGGAAGGACAAGAAGCCATGGATAGAAACTAATCAAGGAGCATACCAACCTAGAAATAAGGAGAAATTTCCTGACAGTTAGAACAATTATCACTGGAACAACTTGTCTCCAGAAGCTGAGGGGTGCTCCATCATTGGAAGTTTTTAAGAAGAGACTGGACAAATATTTCTCCGAAATGATATACAGTTTCCTCCTTGGGCAGGGATTGGATTAAAAGATCTCCAAGGTCCCTTCCAACTCTGTTATTCTGTTAGAGTTGAAAGACCTTTTCAATTGGTGGCCTCAGTGGGCAAGTTGAAGTCATCAAAAATGCTCAAAAAATGGCAGCCAAATGAGGCTTATAAAAATCACAGTAGAAAAATGGCCTGGTCAGAAAAAAACTTATTGACTAGAAAGCAAATGGATAAAGTTGCTTCCTGTCACATTCTCTGTGCTCCAGATTCTCTATCCTTTTAGTATACACTTGAGTCTACTTTGGCATACTGTGAATTAAAAAGTATTTGACCACCATGACTCATGGTGAATATGGGGTATTCTTGGAAAGGCATTCTGAGAAGAAAACCAATCATGCTACAGTCTGGGTGGACATCAAAGTTAGTTGTGGGTCCTAGGCTGTCTATTTCTGCCTGAGGTGATTGTGGTTAGATGGTTGGATATGAGAAGAAGTTTATTAAAAGAATATTGGGAAACCACAAGTGGTTAAAATGGGGAAATCAGAGACAGAAACTTTCACAAAAATGACTACCTTTCCTCTAGCCATTTGAGCTCTGAATGTAAGGGTAGATTGTCACTGACCTAGGCTTTTGATGGTGATGCAGCAAGCAATTTAACTATTCAATTATCAGATACAATTTTGCACTCAGTTCCAACTGCTTGATCCTGAGCTTCTAGAACTTTTAAAAAGATACTCTTCCCATGGCAAAATAAATAAATAGAACATTAGGCCCAATAAAAAGCAAACCATGCTGGCCTCTGAATAATATTTACTGCATAGATGCAATACCTATCTAAATAGATAATTTCTTCACCCTGAAAGTTTTGGAAAATAGAGACTGCTTTCTTGCTATTCCATACTTAAGTAAAATCTCTGCACGTGCAAAACGCAGCTGGTCAAAAGGGCACAAACGTAAATCACCATTAAGGGTAGAAAAAGAGAATAGGTTTTCACTTTTTTTCTTTCTTCCGGCATCTTTCCTTTGTAGATTAGTCACATACTGATATATATACTTACTGACTTCAGTCTCTAGCCAGCCAAAAATAAACACAGCAGACTGTTTCCCATTATCAACAGATCTTAACCATCGAAATTATCCTTGCTTCCTTTTCTACCTTTCCCGTTTTCAGCAACCTGCTTTCACAAAAAATTCCCACACAAAACCCAACAAATATTAACAACAAAGTAAAACTTTAAATACCCAACATAAGTTATATTCCAAAGCACCAGAATCCTTGCTTCTTTAAGCGCCAATTCACCTCTTATTCACCCTTTTGTCTCACCTGCATGAACAGGTACAGCTTTCTTTATATTCTCCTCCCACCTTTTCTAGTTTTCTTACTGCCTGATGGGAAATGTAGTTCCACAAATTCAGTGTTTTTCCGTCTCCTGCTGGTGAAATGAACCTGATCCGTTCAAACTTTGTTTTTTTAAAAAAAGAAACACCACACATAAAAGATATGTTACCAGATTAGAAGTTTAAGGGGGGGGGAAAGATCACTTCCTCATTTAAACTTTGCTATTTCTGCAAAGAAAATGTTGCATTATTGCATATTTATTATGTTTATACCCTTAGGTGACACAAGGCAGAAAATACAACAAGTTAGTGTGTCCTTACATATGAGTAAGTCCTCTTGAATTGCATGGGGTTTCTTATAAGTAAATATACAAAGAACCGTATTACATAACAATATAGTACAGCACATGCTTTCGAAAGAGAATAAGCATGGAGGCGACTAAAGGGATTCTGCATTAATTTAACTGTGGTGGTTTTATACCTGCCTTTTTATTATAAAGATTTAACATTCTATGTGAGAATTTTGAATATATTTTTGAAAATCTAAGTGGAAAAGGAGAAGCAAACTTCAAGTCCAATATCCTAAAAGCAAAATCTCTATGTCAACCTTTTTTAATAAAATAATCCAGTTCAACTGTTTCTAAATTTATTACTTATTATAATAAAAAAATCAGCAGGAGTATGATAACTCTTCCAGGTAATAAACTTTATTAAAAAGCATAAGCATGCACAACTGATGAAGTGAGCTGCAATTCATGAAAGCTTATGCCGTTAATAAAATGTTTGAATTGTAAAAGATGCTACCAGACTCTGGGTAGTTTTTTTTCTTTTGTTTTTGCTACTATCAAGTAATAGGATTGTGCTCTTATAAGCAGATCTGCCTGTGGGATCACATAATATGTGATATCAATATATGTGGATAGGTATAGGTTGCAAGATAAGGCTAGTGTACAGTATTTGCATAAAGATTCACATAGTTGCAAATGAAACAAAGTTACAAATGTAAAACTTGAAATATTGAATTTCTGCAAATCACTCTATATTTTATGCAAAAAATAAAGTTTCCAAGCTTCTAAAAAGAGCCAACTATCAAACAATTTTGTTTTAGTGGCTTTAAGAAAATCAGTGCTCAAACTTTGCAACAAAACCTGTTTATCCATTTCCTCCACACACTTGAGGGTTTTTCTGTTGTTATCAATATTTTGTGCTTTAAGGATGTGGGCTTACAGCTATCCCATTTGTAATGTCTTGGTGCTCTAATCCCTTAAGCAGAAATTCAACAGGCATTGTTTTGCTATTTATTTCCTTCCTGTCCTGTAGTTGTTGAAAATACATGAGGAAAATACACTTTAAAAGATGGCATATCAGGCAACCAGGATTTAGCTTTTAAATACATGAATGGCATACCCATAAGAGATATCATTTAGCAATTAGAATTGTTTGATGGCAGAAGAAGCTATTCCTATCACTGCATCTCTTTGGCAGGAAAAACTATACCTGTGGAACTTCTGCCATTTTACCCTTTTTAGAAACATAACCCCCCCCCCACATAACTCTCTGGAAATGAAAAAGTAATGACGATATTTCCTCTAGTGTATGAGACTTTTACTTATACAAATTAAAATTCTCTCATACAAATAGATTTCAGTTAGTGGTTGGTAGGAATTGATAGATATTTCCCAATAATGATTATTCAGTCATTATTCTCCTTTTCTTATTGGTAAAGATCTCAGGGATCTATAGTTTGCCTTTTCTCATTACGCTACAATATAGCTTTTCTGAGAGGCAGTTTTGTATAGAGGTTAAAGCAGTAGGCTTGAAAGGGGAGACACTAGGCTAGAAAGGGAAGACCGTGAGTTCTAGTCCTGCCTTAGGCACAAAATCTCTAGGTGACCTTGGCCTAGTTATTCTCTGAGCCCTAGGATGAAAGCAGCAATGGCAAACCACTTCTGAAAACCTTGCCAAGAAAACTGCAGGGACTTGGCCAAGGGAGTGTGCATACCCAGAGGGATCCTATACATGGGTGTCAAACTGCTGGCCCATGGGCCGGTTGTATCATACGGAGGCCATGCCCAGCTCAGCTCCAACAATGCAAAAAAAATTGTGATACGTCGCAACACATCATGTGATGTGGTGGGTTTGATACCCGTGCTATAGGATAGGGGTCCTCAAGCCCCAGCCCATGGACTGGTACTGGGCAGTGGCATGCCACCAACCAGGATGCAGGCAGCACACAAAACCATACCCCCTCCAGTCCACGGAAAATTCTCTCTCCACATAACCGGTCCCTGGTGCCCAAAAGGTTGGTGACCTCTGCTACAGCACATCTATCAGAGGTTAGCAAGAATACACCTTAAGTATTTTCAGAGAACAGTTCACACACAAAACATCCAAGAAGCTCCAGATACAGAAAAGAATTGTGCTTTGAACTGGAAAACTGCTGCTGATCAGTGAGAACAATACAGGGGGAAATGGTTGACCTACATACAGTAGAGGTATCTTAAGAACTGCATTCAGCAACTACTTCAGCAGACATGGAGATGTAATGATGTTTGAAATGACTTTTGAAGGGTTTTTCGACGCCACACCACATTTCAAATATGTCAGAGGTTAGTTTGGGAGCACAGGCTAATAATCTGGTGTAAAGTCAGTGAAACCAATTTATTTATTATTTACTCTCAGCACATGTATGATTTAAATACGAATTACCTTCCAGTAAACTGAAACCGAGAACCAGTTTGGTGAAATGGTTAAGCACCAGACTAGAAACCAGGAAACTATGAGAGGGCCAATCCCTCTCTCAGCCATAGAAAGGAGGACATGGCAAACCCACTTATGAAATCTTGCCGAGAAAACCGCAGGGACTCGGAACGCAGACCAGCACAAGCTGGAACCAGCACTCCGTCATCGCCCGAGTTAACTTTGCAGTGCAGCGCAGTAGACTGCAAGTCTGAAACAACCCGATCGTGTTCACGTTTACTCAGAAGCAAAGACCTATTGCTCGAGATAGCGCTCCTCTCGAATAAGCAGGCAGAGCCTGCGCCATATTTGCCCCCAACCAGTCGGGCGCGCCACCGAAAGTCATGAGTTCCATTCCAGCCCGTTTGACCTCTTCCTTCGGGCTCGGGGCAGGGCTAGTTCGGAGGTACATTGAGAATTCCTGGGGACTGCAATTCCCAGAGTGCACCTCGAGGAAGGGAGTCGAAGTGGGGGAGGGGGTGGGGGAGAGAGAGAGAGAGAGAGAGAGAGAGAGAGAGAGAAGTGGAGCGCGAGCTCGGAAGAGGAGGTGGTCATGTGACTTGCAGGAAGTTGCCTTGGAAATGCGGACAGGTGAGCGGTGTTTACGTGGAGGTTCTGTGGCGGGGGGTGGGTGTAATTAAGGTGATGGACCGGGAGCGCGGGCCGGCTTTGTCGGTGTGGGACGAGGAGCGGCTGTCCCGTGACAGATGGGGCGATCGGAGCGCGAGTGGGTTTCTCGCAGCTTGCTTAAGACCGTGTTAACTGGTTGGTTTGCAGTATGGGCATGCCAAGTCCGCTCCCACGCTGCCCTCCCTCTTACTTTCTGGATGGCCTGATTCCTCCGAGACTGACTGATTCGCGCGCTGATTCCGTGGCTTTCTGGAAGGCTGCGCTTTCCGCTGTTGTCTGTGACAGCGGTGCCTTTAACGACCACTTTCTGCCACGTAGCAGTTGAACTGGGGACATCTTCCCCGCCGTTGCAAAACCTTTATCGATGGCTCACTGCATACCTTTCGTTTTTTAATGACTCTGCTTGTACGTGTGCATGCGTGGTTTAAAACCTTGGGGGTTTTCTTTTTATATACATACACTCACACACTCATATAAGATTTCTCCTTAAACTGACTAACACACAGTCTAAGAATGCCATTTCCAAATGATCTCCATCAGATTAATTTAAAATTGTAGCCAGGAATTTATTATTTATTTTACCTTTCTTGTGGATATAATCTTAATTTCATCCTTTGCTGATGAACTGGAGTGGAGTTGTTTTTTCTATGATTTTAGAGCTCATTTGTTTAGGTGTTATCAACATCTGGGTTAACAGTGCTTGAGGCTATATCATAAAGCTGCAAGCCATAATTGCAAATCCATACCAAGCCAATGTTTGTTTGGAAGAATCTTGAGGTTAGCTTTATTCTAACCCTAAAGAAGGGGTAATGTGAAAATATGATATTGCAAACAGTGGAATGATTGTTAATGGAGTTCATAAAATAGATCCATATACAAATCACACGCTTCTCAAACTGGGAAGTACCTAGTCATCCTTTCTTGAAATTCCTTTGGCAATGTGGTTGTGGCTGAGAATTCCTGGAATTAAACATCTTTGTACCTGCAATACATTCAATTGGTTTAAGAGATTTTAATATTTTTTTCTCTTTTCTCCTTGGACTATACATTACAGTGTTTGATCAATTTGATCAGGAAAGTTGTACATAGGTACTGTGTTGTACCTTTGTAGATAATTATTGAGGGCTTTATATGCTGCAAAAATATTCTCAATAACTATATCTAAAAATATCTATAAAATATCTCTGTTTTTTTGTTTCTTAATTGCATGGTACTTAATGAGAAAATGTCAGAAGTGGCCATACAATTGATGCTATCTGAGGAAAATTTGCCTTGTGCATGATTAAATTAGTTCTAATGGTAGAATGGGCAGTACAGAATACAGAAATTTGTGGTAGAAGCTGCCATCCAAAATGTTAACTTCAATTGAATATTAATGATTCCCTTCATTAACAAGAGATGCCCTTATACATTTCTTGGCAAAGATTTGAAAATGATTTGCTATTCCTTCTGACTTTTTTTTTTTTTTTTAAAGAAACTTTCCAGTCTAACTTTTGCAGCTTTGGGATTTTGTGATGGTCTTCAGCCTGAGTACTAATCAGGCCAAGTACCAATAATTTACTTGCCATTTTGAGGTTCTCTGAGGTTGCCTTTTTTTCTGCTCTCCCACCAAAAAAATCTCAAAAGGTTGTTGTTGAGGAAATATTTGGATCAGGGAGCGCTATATATGTTATTTTGTGATGCTGGAGGAAAGGTTAAGATCTAATAATAATTTCATATATGCAAAGCTCACATCATACATAATGTCAACTGTCTTTAGAAGCAAAAGGTACAGTGTGGCTTTCTATTCTTTTTAAAGATGGGATGGGGCATGCTGAAGGAATACTGATTTGTTACGATATCATACATGGATTGCATACTTCCTTGATTACATCTCATTATCTTCTCTGTAGAATTCTAAAAGAAAGATGGCAAATATAACACAGTCCTTATTTAACAATCACCTTGTTTGGTGACTTTTTGCAGTTAAAACAGTGATGAAAAAGTTAAAAGTAATATAAAAGTAACCTTAAGTCCAATCCTCACATACACAAATTTCACAGGTCTATAAAGCAAAGCTGAAGTAAGATCATAGGCACAGTCACAGTTTCATTTAGCGACTGCTGCATTTAACAACTGAGTTGCAGGCCCCAATTGTTGCTAAAGGATAATTACATGTATGCCAATGAGAATTTAAAATGTTTCATGTTTTCTTGGAATATTGTTTGGACCATTTTCTAATGCCAAATGTACAGTTATAGGAACTCTAACTGAACACAGAGAAGCTTACTCTATTTCTTGATTCATTCTGCACATGTGAATGTATACTCTTGAAAGGAGAGTTTCCATTGTGTGACAACAGTTCTGCTACCCTAGTTGAGATGTCCAGAGATTTCCTATTCATAAACAGCTGGAGTTAACAAATTAAAGTATGCATATAAGAGGACCCTTTACCTGTAGACTACTACATATCTTTTATCTTATCTTTCTACTTAGCAGTTAATTTTGTTTGTCCCTTCCCCCTCCTGGTTCCTAAGAGAATTAGCCAGATAAAGGATAGATAGTACTGATAAAGGATAGATAGTACTGATAAACCATAGGAAGAATAGCAGTCAGCATAATGCCATTCCTTAGGTGTTTACCTATTCTTACTCCAGAGTATCTAGCAAGCCCTAGCAGGCACTTCAGAGTTCTCCAATAATGAATTCCTATCTTAGAAATGATCAGGCTTCATGCAGCTACTAAAACCTGTAACAAGAGACACATATACTGTAACTTGGAAAACACAGCAGTATGCTCTAAGACAGTGGTTCTCAACCTTTTTAATGCTGCAACCCCCAACTGGTCGTAAGTCGAGGACTACCCAACTGGTCGTAAGTCTAGGACTACCCAACCGGTCATAAGTCAAGGACTTTCCCTGCCCGGGAGCGCCGCGCATGCGTGGTGCCGCCCCCTGCACCAGCCGATGCGTAGCTGGCAAGCGGCAGAGACGGCGCAGGCCGACCACCGACTGGGCCACCAGCTGGGCCAGCCCAAGGGAGGTAAGGCACCTGCCGGGCCCCACGCGCACCAGCAACCCTCCCTGCATCCACCGGCCTCCCACTTCCCACCCCTGGCCCTCTTTTACTTACATTTTTAGTAGTTGCTCAGCAGGGAGAGGTGGAAGCTTCCACACAGCTCACCTTCACTGCAGACAACTTGCAGCACCGTTTGCAGAACGGGACTTTTGGCGGGCTGAGCAGGGCAGAGACAGCCTGGACAATTCCTATTGGCTTTTGAAAGCCAATAGAATTAGACTCTATTCAAGAGAGTCTATTCTATTGGCTTTCAAAAGCCAATAGAATAAAAGGGAGTAGCACAGCTAAGGAAAAGGGGGAAAAATGGCAGACTGGGTTGTTTGGCGACCCTTGTGAAATGGTCATTCGACTCCAAATGGGGTCCCGACCCACAGGTTGAGAACCGCTGCTCTAAGCCTAAGTAATGTGCTATGTTTGATGAATAGAGCAGCATCTGGCAGCTAAGTGCTTTTATTTGTTCTCTGTAAATGACCAACTGAGTTGATATTGAAAAGTTGAGAGGGAGGCCCATCTTTTTATATCATGGGCCATAATCTTAGTTATGATGCAAAACTAGCATGTGTGCATTAGTGGAGAGGCCACAGCTTCTTTCTAGAACTGAGAGTTCACCTGCAATAGATTCCAAGTTCAATCACTATATGTTCAGGAAAGGCTTTTGGAGGTCTGGCAGTCAGGATAAGACTAAGCAAGAAAGTTTGAGCAACCTATATAATCTGCAGGGTGTATGTGATCCCCTAGAGACAGCAGAGCTGAGAATTGTGGGACTTTTTTTTTGTTTGGGGAGATTAAGGTTTACTGCATATCGCACTTTAGCAGTGTTTAATCCCCCCCCCCACACATCCAAAAAAGTAAAAGGGAACAAGCTTCCTTTGTTCAAGAACTTTTAAGCCACTGTAAGAATTTTACATTTCAAATCCCACCAAAAAGATAAGAGGTAAGTGTAACATTTTGTAGGGGAACATGTATGTTTGATCATCAACATTTGCTGAAAACTCATGTCAGTAGTTTTATGAATTTCAGACTAACATTAGCAGTAGTAAAACACCCAAACCATATGAGTTAATGTACTAATCCCCCAAATGCATCTCCAGTAATATCAACATTTCACCAATGAAGGAGAAGGAGACATTTAACAATTCCTTATTAAAATTCCTTCTGATATGTCAAGAAATGTGAAACATTAATTTCCCTGATATTTCAAATAAATTATATGTGCATATAGATGTGATTGAATATGTTTGCTTAAAAGTAGGACTTAATTTTTTTTATGTTTTCCTGTTGCTGCGTCTGTTTCAAGGTTCCTTGATCTTATTTTGCTTTTATTTTATTTTTAAAAGGTGAAGAGAAATGACATAATTTACATTCCAGCCTTCAGGGCAAAGAAAGCTGGGGGAAGAGGTTGGGAAAACCTGAAAGGGAGCTATGCCTATTACTCAGAGGAGGCAGTCTACAAACAAACGTCTTGTGTCACAGTTCACCCATCATCATGTTGCTGTGTTCCTCCTCACCTTCTTCAGGTAGGTGGTTGTTGCTGAACCTGCGTGGGACTCACCTGAATTGTTGAGCAACCTGAATGAAATCAGAGCATTGAAAGGTCCCTTTTATATGGTAGAATCTGATATGTTGATGCAGAACAAATGTTATATACAACCTTCTCATCAATTATGGTTGTATCTTAACCATTTTTTAATCCATGAAAGATAAATCTACCAATTATAACTATCACAATTTTTTAATCCATGAAAGATAAATCTACCAATTATAACTATCCATAGCTATCTGGTTGCTGAGGAAAACAGGATGCTGGATTTAGATAGGTATTTGGTCTGTTCCTTCAAGCCCTTTGTGAAAGTCCATAGTATCCATTAGTCCAACAGTATAGCTAATGTCAACGACAGCTTCTTATTAAAGTATTTCTGGCATGGGCTACATTAATAAGGCAGGCAGTGTCATTCAGCAGAGACCATACAGAAGAAAATTCACAGTGCACTATGATTAGTGTATTAATCTTGTATTAATTAGAATACTTTAGATTAGATAACCTTTATTGTCATTTTTTCCTGTGGGCACAACGGCACATGTTAAAAATGAAATTTAGTTACTTGCTCTCAAAGTGTATTTATTGACCAAGTGTGATTGGACACACAAGGAATTTGTCTCTGGTTCATAAGCTCCCAGTGTATATACAAACAACAAAGTAATATAATCGTAAAATACCAATAGGAGAAGGTAGTAGAAAAGATGAGAAGGATACTAGTGATACAGCCCTACTAAATGGGTAAATATCTTTAGATGTAAGACAGTACTGTGGTAATTAGGTAATGCACAATGCACTATGAAGATTGTGATAGAATAAACTAAAATACAATTTGGAATACAATTGTAGTGCCACTCCCCCCCCCCCGGGGCCAGGTCTATACAATTCATTGATATTCTAAAACTAGATTTTAATTTTTCCTTACTCATAACCAATTTTTCCTTATTCATTTCCTTGCTAGATACAAGAATAATGCCTTGTTGGACTCCTTGTAGATCTGTGGTAATAATATATGTTTATTTTTTTTCCTTTTCTTGTAATTCTTCTTTTTAAAATTCCTAGCTACTCTCTTCTCCATGCCTCCAGAAAGACCTTTAGTAACGTCAAGGTCAGCATCTCCAGCCAATGGACCCCCTCAGGCTTTAATGACTCTGCCTTCATTCTTCAACCATATGAGGTAAGGGTGTTTACATTTACTGATTTTTCAAAGCCCTGCGCAAGTTAATATCTCCTCAGAAAGTTGGCTGCAGAACAAGCAAGCCAACAAGAATTTGTTGAGGGGAATCAAGGAAGGAGGACTTTTTTTGTTATTTCTTCTCCATCAGAATAACATGGAAGTGAAAGGAACTGGTCTTAGGATGTGCTATATTCGAAGATGCAAGAATTATCTTTGCTATATGTGCTGGCTATCTTGGACATGAAGAGGCAGAGACTAGAGCAGGCATGTCAAACTTGTGATGTTGCGCAACGTATCGCGACTTTTTCCCCATTGCCGGCAATGGGGTGGGCGCGGTTTCAGCGTGATGCATCCGGCCCGTAGGCCAGCAATTTGACATGCCTGGACTAGAGGCAAAAACTCTCTTTAGGGAAGAAGAGGAATCTTAAATTAGGCATAAGGAAGTGATATGAAAGAGACATTTAATATGATATGAAACCCTAATGTTGTGAAGAAGAGCTCTTATACTCTTATACTGTTATAGTCTGGAGGTTCAGAATATATTCCAGAGCTTTTATGAGATGTTTATAGATCCCTAGCTAAAGAATAGCTGCCCCAAGTTTCAGGGATTGAGAAGGATTCTGTAGGCTTGCAAAGGGAAGGATTCCTGCCTCTGCATTGAAAAAACACAATGAGGAGTGATCATAATTAGTTATTAGGACTCACTTGACAAACGTCTCACTTAGCAACAGAAATGTTGGGCTCAATTGTGGTCATAAGTTGAGGACTACCTGTATTGCATCTGAATAAAGCCTAGTGTGTACCTTATTTACAGTCACCATTAAATTTCTACATTGCCCATCCCACCTGTTACAACATTATTAAAAAAAACTAAATACATGAAGAAAAGCATAGCTTAAAAACAGAGTTAAAAACAAGCTAAAACTTATAAGTAAAAATAAATCAGATTAAAATTCAAAGATTAGGCATTATTCTTCCTGGTTTTACCAATACATTCTACTTAATGTGTCTAGCCTTTTGTACTGTTTAAAAGGGGATTTTTAAAAACCTCCTTGTGTACAGGACTATATAATTGCCTACCTATCCTTGTGCTTGCAGGAGTTTAGAGGGTTTCAGTGAATTTTGTCATCTTCAGGCAAGAAAATCCAAATTATCCCCCATTATTTTCTAGAATTTAGTGAAGGCAAGACACTGTGATAAATTCTTCAATTAGATAGGCTAGAAATGCCACACTATTCAACCAGAATTGTGGTAGTCTACTGTATTTCTTCATTGATGTGTAGTTGTGGGGGCTTAGAAGAAGGGTCTGCTGGGAAGAAAAGATATCCCCTTCCAGACCCATGATGTAGAAAGGAAAGAGAGGGAGAAGAAGATCCATTAATATAACAAGGAGGGAAATGTTGCTTAAGCCCAAATAATGAAGGAGGAATGCAAAAAAGCAGGCAGACCCCCTTTTAAGGAAGAGATAACGCAGTGGTAGGAAGCTGGCTGGGGAATTCTGGGAGTTGAAGTCCCTCCATCATCATGTGGCCAAGATTGAGAAACACTGAGTAAAGCATAAGTAGGCTTGTACGATTCTGTTATCTTAATGTGGAGTTGATTTCTTAGTCTGAGCTACATTCTAGACACATAGTACCTGCATATTTCTAGAAAAGGGGTCTTCATACTTGGCCCTTTTATGACTTCTGGACTTCAACTCCCAGAACTCCTCAGCCAGGCACGCCTGGCTGAGAAATTCTGGGAGTTGAAGTCCACAAATCATAAAAGGGCCAAGTTTGAAGACCCCTTTTCTAGATATTACATTGACTCAAGGGAATAGGAATCAAAAATAGGAGCAAGAATCTGTGGTCTTTTATCTGGGGCTTCTAGGAATTGTTAGTCCAGCAGGATCTGGAAAGTCATTAATTCTCTTTCTCACATCCCTAATGTGAAGAATTGGCTTTCGAGACCCCCCCTCATTAGACCAGTATCATGCTGTTTTTTATATAGACAGGTGTTCAGAGGTAACCTTGTCTCCATTAAATATTTACTGATTGGTGCTGGATATGTTAAGTATAGCTAAGCTTAAGCAAACCAGGAGAAAGGGAATTGTGTGATGTCTCCTTTTTCTAATGATATGCTTTCTAGGAGTGTTCTTTGCTCTGTAAACACTGGCATTTTCCATTAACAAGAAGCAGCAGGGCAAGCTGCTATGCACCCTGATGATTAGGAGGCGGTCCTATGAAAATTAAAGGAAACATCTATGATATTGCACTGTAAATTAGATATGCCAGTTCCTGTGTTTTCATGTTTTCTTTTTTTCACTTTGCAGCCTGACTCATTCATTCGAAATGGTCAAGTTCTGCCTAGCAAATTAATAATGAAGATCTTTAACTGGATACAACTGAGATGCTTTTTACAGAAACCCAGACAGACGTTCTTACTGAAGGAACTTCTCTGTCTCAGAAACTGGAAGTCTTTCTTTTTTTTTGTAGAAGTGAAACTGGAGATGGATCTTTTTAAATTCTGTTTTACTAGAATTTGATCAGTCTATGAATATGATCAGTCAGGATTGCTGGGTTTCTGTGTCTCTTCCGTAGCACGAGAGGGATGACAAATTTAACACTTTACCTCCTACCTAGCCTTTTCAGGGGTTCTCAATCTTGGCAACTTTAAGACTTGTGGACTTCAACTCCCAGCTTTGCTGGCTGAGGAATTCTGGGAGTTGAAGTCCACAAGTCTTAAAGTTGCCAAGGTTGAGAACCCCTGCTTTAGGTGATTTGGACTACATGGCTTCAGAAATATTAATGACTGGAATCGGAAGGATTAAAGACATTAAGTGAGGTGTTGTTTAATTTAGAGCTGATATAGAGCTATATTATATTATCCACATATTTGCCGTCTCATTTTATAGTTAATCTTGACTTTTCTTTGTAGCTTTGGAACAGCAGTCATCTATTTCCTAATACTGAAGAAGCTACATTATTCCTTGGAACATTGGATACCATCTTCCTGTTTTCTTATGCTGTGGTGAGCAAATTCTCCTTCTTTGAATAGTTCTTGAATTGTGAAGGAGGAGAAAGATTAAATCCATCAGATTCAATATAGCAGATAATTTTATAGGATAACTTTGATGTAGATTAGCATTGATCTATGCAGCTCAGTGTCATCTACCAAGCTCTCCGGGTGTTTTTCCATTGCAGCCTCCATCACTCTTCACAATCAGACACGGGCTAGAATTTATGACAACTGGATTTCAGTCTAGAAGATCTTGCACTGCTAGAATTGACGGCAGTTGGATTACAGGTTCCCTATAATTACACAAGTCTCTTAAGGTTTTATTCAAGAGCCTTTCTTAGCTTTCCAAAGAAATAATTGAAATTATTTGCCTGCTTCACCACTGAGCAAAGATTCCATGCCAACTTTATTGGAAAACTATATTTATTGTCACAAATGAAGGCAAATATATATATCCCAGGATAATGTTGCAGGATCCAATGTGAGTCAGTCACCAGGACTAGAGGCTTAGTTTTCTGAGCTTTTGGACTTGCGAGTCCATCCTCAGAGAACTTCTCTTTCACACATTCTGGTGAGAGAGAAGTTCCCTGAGGATGGGCCCCAGCACGAATCCAAAAACTCAGAAGACTAAATTTCTGCTCCTGATAACCGACCTAGATAGGATCCTGCTATATTTATTGTCTCTCATTAGCTCATGGTGTTAAATACCAGGTTGTTTCCTCATAATTTGCTCAATAAACTGCAATGGATTAGCTTTGTGTATCACATTAAACTACAAAACATGGCTCATGCAGTTGTTAGGTTTCCATCACACAATATGCCAGAGCCAAAGAAACCATTTTACAGCATAATACCATATGTGAATCCTGCCAAAATCTACTTAATATTGCAAAGTTTTTGAGTACAACCAAATGGTACAGTGTTGATTAATTAGGCTGGGCCAAAAAACAGATATTGAAAAGACAGCAGCAATCTCCAGGCTGTCTGCAGCAGCCTTTCCTGATCCATTCTTTCTAGATGAGCTTGTTTATTTGCTAGGTTTATATCCCACTTTTTATTCAGGAACTCAAGGGAGCATACCCAGTGGTCTCTCCTCCTATTGTTCCCACAATAACAACCCCAATGAGTTTTCACAACTGAGCGTGGATTTGAAGTTAAGTCTCACTTCTTCAATCCAACAATTTAACCATAAACCAGACTGCTTACAACGCCATCATTTGCTGCCAGGACAGATCCCTATTTTGGACAGGCATCAGTTTGGAGAAATCTGTGTGCAGCCTATACAGGAACGGTAATTTTTGAGTGCTCTCATTTTCTTGTATAAAAATCTTGACGCATTTTTCAAGTGGGCAAAAACACGTATTAAAGCATATTTGTCTCATTTCCCCCAAATACTTTACAGTAATATGGTATTTTTCACTTTTGTACAGAACACATGAAATATGAAAAGTTGTTCCTTGAGCATGTTTTTTTCTGCTGCTTTTCCTCTCAGATTTTAGCATTCTTGTTTCAGAGATGATGGGGTCTGCAGCATTCAAATCACGGCAATAACATTGGCTCAATGGCAAGCAATATGTTGCATAGTTTAGTTACTAATTTTATAGGGCTTGAAATCAGCCTCATCTGAATTGTATGACTTTCTGACAAATAGGACCTTAAAAAGAATAATAGTTTTATTGTCTATCACTATTTTCTTCAGTTTGACTCTTACTGAATAACATTTTTAAAATTATTTTAGGGCCTCTTTGTTAGTGGCATTATTGGGGATCGTTTGAACATGCGCTGGGTTCTGGCATTTGGGATGTGCTCCTCTGCCTTAGTGGTAAGTTGGAAAATCAAAGTTGGTAAAATATGCTATGCTGGTTAGTACTTGACTTTGAATTTCTGTGACATTTCTTCAGAAATCACTTCTAAGTAAATGAAGATATTGCATTCAAGAAGCTCAGTAGGATCTTCAGCTTTATAAAATGCATGGACTGAACATTTTGATGTGTCTGTACTGGAGGTTGCATTTTATATCCAAAATATTCTTGAGACTTCAGATTGTTAAGATATTTTTGAGAGCAAAAGAGGAAATGGACTAGGACACTTGTGAGGGGGCCTTGGTGCTCTGTGAGCTTGCTTGTTTTCTTGCAGATGTTTCATTACTCTGACAAATCAGCCATCAATAGACACATAGACAGTAGTCACATCAAAAGAGACAATCAACTAGCCCAAAGAGAAAAAGACTCCAGCACCTCTCCTCCAGTAATCAGCACTCAGATCAGGTCCACTTCAGACCAACAATCAAGTAAGCAATACCCCAGTGAAGAAACTGCCGAAGAGCAATTAGTAAACAGCCCAACCAAAGAATCCCTAAGGCCGCCACCATCCACACAGACAGGCAAGACACCAGAATATAAACTGACAGCAAACAGCATTCCTTACTAGCACTGATGGTGTTACCTAGTTAGGGTAATGAAACATCTGCAAGAAAACAAGCAAGCTCAGAGAATGCCAAAGACCATCTCCCCTCATTTCAACCCTGAGTTTCATTGGTAGGACACTTGTTGCTGAAACCATTTTACTGCAAATTACAGTTATTGTGCAGTGTAATTTTTGTTTTTTATAAAGAATTTCTAACATGCAAGCTTCTGTACACTGAAGCTTGTACTTGGAAAAATCCAGTTTTCTGTTTGGTAACACATAGAAAAAATAATTACTAAAATTAGCTTTCTTGCCATAGTAATTAGAGATGTTATTTTCAAATGCCTAAGTTATTAGGGTGTACCATGTGGGTGAAACTCCTTCTTTCTTTAAAGCCAGGCCTTATTTAAATTATGGATGATTTCCCCTTCTGCCTTATATTCTCAGAAAGCATTTGGCTCCTATCCCCAGAATTGTGAATAGCTATTGGTTTGGCTTCCTGTGATGAGCTAAAATCATTTCAAGGTGCCCAGATAGATCTTAACTTGTAGCCTATAAATAATATAGAGCACGGCTAGAAAGTATTGTGGATTTATTTGCCAGACTAATTTGGGATTAGCACTACATTTCCTTCTTCTTGTTGTTTCTTTTCAGGTGTTTGTGTTTGGCACTGTCACCGAATGGCTTCATTTCTACAACAAGTGGTTCTACTGCTGCCTGTGGATTGTGAATGGCTTGTTGCAGTCCACGGGCTGGCCCTGTGTTGTAGCTGTCATGGGAAACTGGTTTGGCAAAGCTGGGTATGCAAATGTTGGTTCTTCCCCTTGTACATATTTTTTGGTGGCTTTCCTCTCCACTGTGTGGTTATTGTGCAAAGCTCCTCTTCCTGTTAAACATGTGTTGCCAGTGTGTCCACATTGTTTTGTTTACTGAACAAACTGGCCCTGGCCATGTGATCATAGTTTGTTGAGTTGCATTCCTGCCAAAATGAAAATGCAAAATTGTACTTTATCCTATTTATAAGGACATTAGGCTGGTTGTCCTTTTGAAAAGAATCAGTAGATTTTACAAGGATTTGGGTGCAAGTGTTTGATTGTTTAAGTATAAGGTTTATTACTGCCTTAATCCTCATGGATTTTAGGTGGTTTATAGATGTTAAGATAAACAACAAATAGCATACTATTAAGAATATGAAGGAATACAACAGAAGTATGTGTTGCATGTTGATTTATTTATTTATTTATGAGACTTATATACCGCTTTAAGTGCAAGCACTCTCTAAGCGGTGTACACCAGTAAGCAATGTATATATATATATATATTTACATTGCCCCCAACAATCTGGGTCCTCATTTTACGTACCCCGGAAGGATGGAAGGCTGAGTCAACCTTGAGCCAGTGAGATTTGAACCGCTGACCTGCTGAACACAGTCAGCTAAAGTGGCCTGCAGTACTGCACTCTAACTGCTGCGCCACCTTGGCTCTTTGATGTTATAAATGTGCATGGAAATACCTCTATGAATATGTGTGAGGACCATCCTTATGTCAGGGGACAAGCCATTCCTGAGGAGGAGAACGGCTGCTTAGAAGCCTAACTGTTGAGCCCACTCTCCTCATTTCTGTTAGATAAGGCCTCTCTGGCCACCTGGGTTGACTGGAAGGAACCTATATGAGAAAGGTAGTATCTTCAATGCTTTCGGATTTTAAGAATATCAGCCAACATCTGGAATAGCATTCAGAAACACTCAGTGCATCTCTCATAGGCATGGTACAACTTGGCAATACCGAAGCTGACCAGTGAGCATGAGGACTGCTGTTCTAGATCAGCTGAAGTTTCTGGATGGTCTTTGAGAGCAGCCCCATCTGGAGTGAATCTGATTGGGAGATAATAAGAGCATGAGCGAACACCCCGTAGATCATGTTGTTTCAGAATGTTTAGAAGTAGCTACCTGAAGAGCAACTAAATCAGGGGTCTCCAAACTTGGCCCTTTTATGACTTGTGGACTCCCAGAATTCCTCAGCCAGCATGGAATTCTGGGAGTTGAAGTCCACAAGTCATAAAAGGGCCAAGTTTGAAGACCCCTGAACTAAATGCATGGCTCTATCTATGGCTTCAAAGCCACTGAGTCTTAATCTTAGTTTCTTAATCAGTTACCTCCAGGATCATGAGTGATCAGAAACATATATCTGTATACTCTTAGCACCAGGATCATGAGTGATCAGAAAAAAGTATCTGTACATTCTTATTATACATAGACTGTATCTGTACATTAAGATCTATGTGCTGTGCATCATCCACACCTTATCCCACCTCTTAATTTTTGGGTAGAATTTTTTTTCATACAGCATAAATTGTTTAGACATTAACTTTTTAAATCCAATATATGCACTTCAGTTATTCAAAGTTTTTTTTAATCCAAATGATGGCTTCTTCTTCCTCTCTAATTCTTAAATCCATTATTTTCACTTTTTCCCTTCTGAGTCTGAAAAATGTGCTTGCTCAAACAAACAAGACACAGCGTGATAACACACTTGCTTTACCATCCTACCCAGAATACTTTGAAGTGTTTGTGTCAGAAGCTTCCCATTAGAAAGTTCCTCACTTTTTATATTAGCAATGTTGTGATAGTCCTAATAAATCAACATGCAATGTGGTTCAAGGGAAGAGAAATTTAAAATGATTTTTTTTTTGCCTGACTCTGAGTTATTACCCAACTTAATCTTTTTTTTTTAAATTTCACATTCAGGAGAGGATTTGTTTTTGGACTCTGGAGTGCCTGTGCATCAGTGGGTAACATCCTTGGAGCATTTCTCGCCTCTTCGGTTCTGCAGTATGGCTATGAGGTGGGTGAAGCTGCCTGCTGGCATTGTCCTACCTGCATTGGAGCCAGTCATATTCTATAGAGCATGATTTTTTATTTATTGAACTTATCAACGTTTCTCTGTGGTTTCCAATTAAAATATGTTGGGACTTCCTATACAAGCAAAAATAAAATACTTAGAAAGGAAGGATTAACTGCTTGACTTACGATGAGAAAATCCAGGAGAGATCCAGAAAATATTTTAATTGTTATTTTTTTTTTTACCCCTTTTTAGTATGCCTTCTTGGTGACAGCATCAGTACAGTTTGCTGGAGGAGTTATTGTCTTTTTTGGCCTTGTGATTTCTCCCAAAGAAGTAGGTAAGTAGAAGCACCATTTGGCTTGTTTTGTCTTTGCGGCTTGCAAACCCAAATTGCAAGAAGTGCATATTTAATTTTTGACTTGGCACTCCACTCAAAATCCATATTAAATATTAAAAACCTCATTAGATACTGGCATTAAGGGCATGTTTTTTTTAATTTAACACATGTACAGGTAGTCCTCGATTTACAACAGTTTGTTTAGTGACCATTCAAAATTACAATGGCACTGAAAAATGTGACTTATGACTGTTTTTCAAAGTTACGACCTTTGCAGCATCCCCATGATCATCTGACCAAAATTCAGATGCTTGGCATCTGGCTCATATTTATGACCTTTGCTGTGTCCCGGGATCATGTGATTTGCTTTTGCAAACCTTCTGACACGCAAAGTCAATGGGGAAACCAGATTCACTTAACAACCGGGTTACTAATTTATCAACAACAGTGATTCACTTAACAACTGTGGCAAGAAAGGTCGTAAACTGGGGCAAAATTCACTTAACAAATGTCTCACTCAACAATAGAAATTTTGAGCTCAATTGTGGTCGTAAGTCAAGGACTACCTGTATTGTATATCCTGCCTTTATAACAAGTCTAAATTGGTCAACAGAAAACAAAATAGTCTACACCTAGAATGACATTTTTGAACTTCATAACTAAAAAAGCAACTGCAACAACAATAATATGACAGTAATAAAACTACCAACATTTCACTTGACAAAATGTCTGCCATTCTGCATCTGAAACCAGGCTGCTGACCCACAGTACAGAACTAACTTTTAATGGGGCTGTTGTGGCCTAGACTATTTCAGAGTGGACTCACATTTATTACAACTGCGTTCTTCAGAGCAACTTCCTTAGAATTCATTTTTGGTCATAATACCTCCAAGAAGCAGATGAGGCTGCAAAGTACTTTAAAGTGGGCTCTATGCCTTTGAGCTCCAAAGCCTGAAACCTGCATATGGAGTGAACGACAGGAAACCCTGAATGCATCTGATAAGATGGGATTTCTATCCTGATATAAGGCACTCTCTATGGATTTGTTAGTGTGCAAGACTCTGCAGTGAATCCAAAGTATGGGTGTTATATATACCACCTTCTGTATACCTAAAAAAAAGGTGGTTTAGATGTTCTAAAATAGGAAGGGGAGAACCAAAGAGCAGCTGATTTCCACCTAAGCTTGAGAAACAGGTTTATGTTGTTCACCTTTTGCCACTCAGCTGCAACTAGGGGAAGTGGCTGCTAGTGGGGTATAAGACCAGGATGTTTTTTAAAAAAATTTCCATCTATTTGTCCTTGTGATTACCAAAACGCTTTTAGTATTAGGAGCTGGCAAGTTCAGTGATGGTGTCTGTAAAGGAACACAGAATACACATCCTTATGTATTTATGCTTGCAGAGGAAGCACAAAAAGTTGCAGAGAAGGAGTTAATTTGTTCAGATGCTGAAACTGGATTGTAAAAACATATTGTGAGACATCTTTCTTCCAATCTCACCTCCCCGTTAGAACTGTGGCTGATAGAGTAGGCATCCTAACTTTTAAATTGTATTTATTTATCAAATTAAATAATGCCACCCATCTCAGAAAAAGTGACTCCAAGCGGTGTACAGCAAAGCTAAAAATTAATATGATTACCAATACAGCTTGTGGAGCAGAGGTGCAATATGTATTATAGGAACACACATAACTACCCACAATGCTGCATTCCATATCAGCTGAAGCTTTCAGATACTCTTCAAGGGCAGCCCATGTGCAGCACATTATAATAGTCCAAATGGACTACTACTACTAGTAGTACAGTAAATTTAATCACACTGCAAGTAAGAATACCTGTCTTGCAATTGAAGACATCTGACTCCAGCCCTAAAGGGAATGCACTAATTTGTTGTGTCTTCCAAGTAATAGCCAGACACAGCAGATAGAGTCACTGTCAGGGTCAGACAGGATTCTTTTGAGAAGATTAGAAGACCAGGGATGGAAATTGGTGTTTCTGCCGAGCACCATCTAAAGCATTTCTAAGCCAAAGGAAGAGGGAGAGAGCAAGGGAGCTGAATCAGAAGGGAGTAACAGTAACTCAAAAGAGCAGGCATGAGAAGAGGGGATTCTCCCTTTTTTTGTTTCTAGGTTGCATTTCTGTGATTTCTCGTAGGCCTCCCTGAAATTGGCAAAGAAGGGGATGCTGATGCTGCTGAAGAAGATGCCACTGAGCCATTAATTAGCAGCCATGAGAATGAAGGTTTTGATGAGCAGAATTACACCATTCAGGCATCTAGCAGTAGTACAAATACTCCATCCCAGGCCATTGGATTCTTTCAGGCGTGTTATCTGCCTGGCGTCTTATTGGTAAGATTGTTGTTATCATCACCTTACAGTGATATATTTTTTACTCAGAAACAAAGTCATATGGTATCTATAGGCACAAGTGTTTTTAAGGACACTATCTTGGTGCTCCTGATCTCCTTTTCCCCTCTGATACTTTTAGTAAAAAAAAAAAAAAATTAAATAAAAACAGAAGCTGGCATGCTGCAAAGCATCATTTTTATTTCTATGAATATCTTCAGAGCCCACCTGGGACAAGAGAAAATTGAAGAAAATGAAGAGTGGACTGCTGCAGCCCAATTCTTAGTTTAGCAATATGCCAACCGACCCCCCCCCCCAAAAAGGACAGAAATAAGTGAAGTGATAGACAACATCTTAGGGTGGTGAGGAGCAACCTAATTAAGTTTGCTTCCTTGTCAGTGTGTGGTTTGTGACTGGTTGTGCGCATGTCACCCTTGAGAATTCCATTATATATTGTTAGACTTCGAAAAGTGTTCATCTGCTCCTAAAGTTTACTTACTCTAGTATTTCTTAATCTCAACAGTTTCAAGGAATAGAATAGAATAGAATAGAATAGAATAGAATAGAATAGAATAGAATAGAATAGAATAATAGAGTTGGAAGGGACTTTGGAGGTCTTTTAGTCCAACCCCAGCTCAGGCAGGAAACTCTATACTATTTCAGACAAATGGTTGTCCAGACTCTTCTTAAAAACTTCCAGTGCTGGAGCATTCATAACTTCTGGAGGAAAGTTGTTCCACTGATTAATTGTTCTAACTGTCAGGAAATTTCTCCTTCGTTCTAGCTTGCTTCTCTCCTTGATTAGTTTCCATCGCTTCTTGTCCTTCCCTCAGGTACTTTGGAGAATAGCTTGACTCCCTCTTCTTTGTGGCACCCCTGAGATATTGGAACACTGCTATCATGTCCCCCCTCATCCTTCTCTTCATTAGACTAGACATACCCAATTCCAGCAACTGTTCTTTATATGTTTTAGCCTCCAATCCCCTGATCATCTTTGTTGCTTTTCTCTGCACTTGTATGGGTTATGATACTTCAAAGTCATAATTACCTTAAAAACTGAACAGTAGCAATACCACTATTCTCACTTGTACCCATCCCACAGCTTTAATAAAGTATATCTGCTGGCTGGGGAATTCTAGGAGCTGAAGTCCACAAGCCTTAAAGTTGCCAAGGTTGGACACCCCTGCTCTATGCATTATAGAATTACAAAGCCATACTGGCTCAGCTTGGATTGTTTTGATTCTAATAGCTTTCCTTTTGGAATGGTATTTATTTGTTTCAGTATTCCTTGGCCTATGCTTGCCTGAAGCTAGTAAACTATTCCTTCTTCTTCTGGCTGCCCTTCTACCTCAGCAACAATTTTGGTTGGAAGGAGGCAGAAGCTGACCAACTCTCAATCTGGTATGATGTTGGAGGCATTATAGGTATGACTAAGGAGCAAAAGACAAATTATTTTTGTTGTTATTTCATTTTCTGTTCATTGTGGGATTAGAACAGGATGTGGCAGAGTGTGGGTGGGAATTCTAGTTTGAAACTAAGTAGACACCACTTGTCTACCAATTAGTGACTGGCAGGCAAAGTGATTATGGATGTAGTAGTCCAAAGGATCTGGAGGATGTCAAATGTATTTATTTATTAGATTTTATCCTGCCTTTATTATTTTATAGGTAACTAAAAGCAGCAAACTTACATAATACTCTTTCCTCACACTCCACAACAGCAGTCCTATAAGGTGGATGGGCTGAGAGAATGTGTCTAGCCTAACGAAACGTAGCTGGCTTTCATGCCTAAGACGGAACTAGAACTCTCAGTCTTCTGGTGATTGGCCCAAAGTCCTCCAGCGGGCTTTCATGCCTAAGGCAGGACTAGAACTTACAGTCTCCGGGTGATTGGCCCAAAGTCCTCCAGCGGACTTTCATGCCTAAGGCGGGACTAGAACTTGCAGTCTCCGGGTGATTGGCCCAAAGTCCCCCAGCGGGCTTTCATGCCTAAGTGGGACTAGCACTGTCAGTTTCCTGGCTTCTAGGCCACCAGCTTAATCACTGTACCAAACTAATTGCCTACAGCAGTTTCCCCACGCTTGGGCACTCCCCCATCTTCAACTCCTAAAATTCTTAACAGTAGTGTTGCTGTCTGGAAAGCTTAAGTCTCACTTTGGAGAACACCAAAATTGGGGGAAAAAACGGTTTAGAATAGTGGCTGGAGAATCTTCAGTCAACACAATGTGTGAAAGACAGCTAACTTTATAGCCAATTGTGCTTTTTAAATTTATTGATTAAATTTATATGCCTCCCATCTCACCATCAAATGATTCTGGGAAGCTTCCAACATCATAAAAACAGTAAAATAATAAATGCTGATCTTTAGTGTGCACTTTTGTCTATAATGATTATGATCTGTTATGACAGTCTTTATTCCTTTTATTTCTACAGGTGGTACCATCCAAGGTTTTATCTCTGACATGCTACAAAAAAGAGCTCCTGTATTAGCTATTAGCCTCATTTTGGCTATTGGATCTCTTTTTGGATACAGCCGTGAGTACTTTTTTGCACAATAGGTTTTGTGGCATGAGCTTGTATCTAGTCTCCTTATTGTATGCACTAAACATAGGGAGGACCTGTTTTCTTTTATTAAATCAGCAATTGAAATGGGTTACAATCAATTCTGCTTTTGAATTTAATAAGAGATAGCATTCTCAACAACCTTCAAAAAAAAATTGCAAGAAACCTGCTCAATAAGCTGGGCAGGCAAAACTCTGCAGCTAACATCCTGCTTTCATTAGTGGTCAGCCAGGTGCTTCTGGGAGACCCACAAGCTGAGTGTTCCATTGTGTGTTGGAATGAACAGGAAAAGGAGAATGTTCTTTTCCAGTAGAGGGAGCTGTCTGCACTTGTGCAGATATACCTTTATTGGAGCATCTCCTGTGTTCAAGCCATCTCTTTTAAAGCTGTGAGGTGGGCACAAGTGAGAGTGGTAGTATTGCTACTGCTCAGTTTTTAGGGTAATGATGGCTTTGAAGTATCACAAGCTTTAGTTGAAATTCATTGTTTCTATCATTTTGCTGGATCCCTATAATTTCTAGCATTGAGCTTCTGGAGGTTGCCCTCTTGATTTATTTATTTCTTTTTATTTCCCCTCTCTGGGTTAGAGCAGTGAGCAAAAGCAAAGCTTGTTATTATTTTGGAATATTGTATCTCAGAGATTTGGTAGAGAATCCCTAAGTCTGCTCTTCCTGATAGAGATGGTGAAATATTGTGCTAGCAGCTTCCTTCACTCATTCTTGGCCACATTGCTTGATTAGATCAGTGCTTGGCAAAATACTTTTGCTGAATTCTTGCTTTCAGTAAGGTTGGGAACAAGCAGTTCCCTTCAGGTTTGTAGGTTCATCTATAAGAGGCTGAGGTCATTTCAGTCCAGTGTTCTTGGCTGCCTTGCTAAATGTTCTATTCCAGTTCAGGGAGATTCAAATAAATTAAATTTTAATGATCCAAAATTACTCCAGCAATTCAACTATGGACTAAACTGAATATAGCTAGCACAGAACTCCTCTTGTCTTCCTCATCTTTCTGTTTGTTACAAAGCTCCCCTGGTTTTTGAGAAGGAAGCATATTTAATCATCAGTGAAGGCAAAATTAAAGAAACTCTATTGCAGCAGAAGATTAAGGCATTGTTAACATATCATGCCAATGCATGATATGCATTGAAAACGGTCTTTTATAATCAGCTTTTCATCTCATCCTGAATTTTTTATCTGTGGCAAAAAGAATTATGAACTTTTCTTTTCTTTGTTTCCATAGGTTCCCCAAATAACAAACCTATCAATGCAGTTATCATGGCAATTACAGGTAAAAGATCCACATATTTTCAGGGAGAGTTAAGAAGATCTGTTTTCATAATGTCATATCTTGGCTTGTTTCAATGTTTTGTCAAGCCATAATCTGGTTTGTTGATCTTTGCCTAGTGTGATAGCTGAACCCAACCACTGTTATTTATAACCCAGCAGGTTTATAACAATATGTTCTATAACCGAATGGTTTACTCAATACTAAAAACACGGTTTACTAAAATATATGAAGGAATCATTTAAAGTCTAGTCTGTTACAAGACTATACTGCCACATCAATTAGGGAACACTGTAAATTTTGTTTTTCCTTCTTACAGAAGTTCACAATCAGCAGCTTTGGGAGAGGGAGGCAAACACATATGTGGATATATAATTTCTATTTACTAGGTGGAGACTAGACCATGAAAACTTAATGATGAAAAAGGTACAAGCAAGATTTATGAATGGGCAGTAGACTGGACCCCAGTGTTTCTCAACCTTGGCAGCTTGAAGACGTGTAGATTTCAATTCCCAGAATTCTCCAGCCAGTCAGGAATGATTGTATGATTGTAAACTAACAATGACTGTAAACTAAATCAGCACATTATAATTTCCACTGATGTTTGGATGCATGGCTGGTCTGACGTTTTGATAGTTTTCTTTGGTTAAGTGACAATGTTGCAGGTTCAGATTAAGATCATCTTGTGTTGTACTGGAAACAGAGCCCACCTCCTCTGTGTTCTCATTCTTAGCTGCATTTTCCTTTTTGATGTTTCATAGGCTTTTTTATTGGAGGCCCTTCCAACATGATTAGCTCTGCCATTTCTGCAGACCTGGGGCATCAGGAAGCGATCAAAGGAAGTAGCGAGGCTCTTGCAACTGTGACAGGGATTGTGGATGGCACCGGCAGTATTGGGGCCGCTGTGGGTCAGGTGAGGCAGATCTGAAAAGCCTTCAAGATCATTTTAGCAATGAAAGAACTCATACAGGTGGTCCTTGACTTACCACCACAATGAAGCCTGCTCATTATGGTTATCAATGTTGATGGTCATAAAGCAATCATCACACAAGAGACCCAATCATACAGTCTATTTTTGCAGCACTCATTAAGCAAATCAATATGGTCATTAAGTGAATCCGCAGTGGTTAAGGAAATGTGGTGATCATTAAATAAACCCATTGTTTGCTGTGGGCCATTTTTGCTGAAATAAAGTAAGTACATGCCAGTTTTGCCAAAATTAATTGTGGTCACATGACCATGTGATGCTGCAAACGGCCATAAATTTGGGCCGTTGCTCAGTGCTCAAAATGCAGTCATGTGACTGTGGGGGAGGTAGCAGTCCAAACTTTGGAATTGAGTTGTGAGTTCCTTTGTGTGCGTGTGTATGTATGTGGGGGGGGGGTTGGAATCTGTTGTAACTTCAGTCACTAAGCAACTGGTAGAGAACGACTTGTACCGAAGCAAAGGTTTGGTTTATTGAAAATTTTAAGACCTGACAGGCTTTTCTTTTCAGCAACATTTCACTAAAGCATGTATTAATAGTAATATTTGTTACATCTCAAAAAAGATAAGAAAAAAAGGTTAATCTAGATCAGGAGTAGGCAACCTTGGCTCTTTTATGACTCTTGGACTTCAACTCCCAGAATTCCTGAGCCAGCCTGATGCCTACCCCTGATCTAGATGATCATCACTCCTTAGAGAAAACATAGCTTATTGGGAATTTTGGTTTAGAAAAGGATGCTTTCAGTATATCCAGAGGACATTCAGAGCGCTGCAGTCAAAGTCCAATCCTGAGCCTCCTGCTGACTTTCTCATACAGTGTCTTTTGTGGTGCTGCTAACTTATATGTTTGAAAGCCTGCTGTTCGGCAAATCTTCCCTACAGCAATTGCATTTTTTAAAATATTTTTTTTATCTTGCTTTATTATTTTTATAAATAACTCCGAGTGGTAAATACCCAATACTATTTTTTTCCTCCTATTTTCCCCATAACAACAAACCCTGAGAAGTCAGGTAGGCTGAGAGAGAATGACTGGCTCAAAGTCACCCAGTCAGTTTTATGCCTAAGGCAGAAACTAGAAGTCACAGTATCCTGGTTTCTAGTCTTGTGCCTTAACCACTGAACCAAACTGGCTCTCTTTTCCTTCCCTTTCACCTTTCCAGTCCATTAACGTATGTGTGTGTAAGTGTGTGTGTAATGGGGAGGATAATGCATAAGAAGAGCCAACTTTTTTTGCATGTCTTGCAATGTTGCTGTCCAGGAAGATGGAGATATAAATCATTCCACTTTCTACTATATTTCTATGCTTATGGCTTTCCTGATTCATCTCTGTGTTACCTAGAAGAGAGCATCTTCCCTGTTTCTGCAGGGGGGGATGATTCTCTCTGGTTTGCATAGTGCTTATAAGGCACCAGGTTAGAAACCAGGAAACAGTGAGTTCTAGTCTCGTCTTAGGCACGAAAGCCAGTTGGGTGATTTTGGACCAGTCACTTTCTTTCAGCCCTACCCACCTCATAGGGTTGTTGGGGGGAAAATAGGAGGAAGAAGGAATACTAGGTATGTTTGGTACCTTAAGTTATTTATAAAAATAGTAAAGGCAGGATATAAATACATAAATAAATCTAGCAGAAATAGCAGAAACAGAACTAAAAAAAACAGGATACAGAGAACAAAGGAACAATTAGTAGCTAGTTTGGTAAGATAGGAAAAAGGAAGACTAACCCTTTATGGACAAAGGAGAATAAGATGTAACGAGGCAGGGACGGAAGCCATGTTTAAATATTATAAATAGAATTAATATCAACCAGCCTTTCTCAAAATTAAAGATATCAATTTTTTAGCAGTAATGCCTTCAGCCTGTTCCAACTCCTGCTCGTTTCTTTTAATAGCATCTTAGCAAATGTAAGATGACACAATTTACAAGTCTTATTTAAGTTACGTAGATAGGACAGGAAGCCACTTTTTTAAAAATAATAATAATAATAATTATGGCCTATTGAATAAGTGGTCTGCTTCACGCAAAATATAAAGCTGCAATGCATGAGTTCACACATGACATGAAACCAAGGACAAGCGAGTCCCACTGTGATTTAGTGCTTTGTGAAGAAGATCAGAGTGTGTAGAATTATGTCCCAATGATGTAGGCAGGTCCAGGTTGCCAGCCCCACTTTTGATGTCATTTCCTACAGTGGCCAAGCAAGTCTTGATAATGGGGTGGGCCATAAATAGCAGGAAATGAATTAAAATGTAAATTCATGAATACAAATGTAAATACAAGAATAAAATCTGTTCTTGTTTATTTTTATGTATTGCCTTATAATGTTTGCTGTATCTAGCTGACGTCTCGGCTGGGGCATGGTCATTCTTAATGAAAAAGCTTTGTCACATCAACTTTTTTTTTCCAACTTTGTGCCTTCAGAGAACCCAAATGGGTTAGGGTAGGAACTACTTATCTGCTTTACTAGCCTGCTACATTGCTTACCTGCAAAATGGCTCATAAGAACTGTTGTCTGAGTTCCTTCTCCCTTGGCTCCCTTTATGTGTATATAACAAATATGCATTAATGTTTCCAAGTAAGTCTCTTCTGGGGCTTTTAGACTAAGCAAGGTTCATTATGTTTGTTTCTATTGCCCAGTGTCAGATCTATAACACAGCATCCCTTCCGTTGTGGGGTTTTAAGATGGGTCATAGAGGTGTTCACACAAGGAAACACAGGGCTAACTTAGAAGCAATGTGAATGCAATGCAGGAATGCAATTAGTGCAATTGGCAAAGGTGTTGGCTTCTATCGAAAAGTGCTGGGGCTGGAAAGGGTATCTTTTGAAAAACTTGGTTTTGGGGGAATGTTGCAATAATGCATCGGCCATCCTGATTTGAGAGAGCATAGCAGTGTGGAATTCCTCTCGGCTTTCTTCTGACTCTGGAGTGGTTTTGCTCTAAGAAATTACTAATCATTTGCCTCATGACCTGGAAGCAACACAGTGCTTTTCAAAGCTATAAGACTGGCTATTGTGTGAAGATAACAATGGCGTATCTTCTGTGGAATTCATTATTCCTAGCCATTGCTATTCTCCAATTTTTTGAACTTCCTTTATTCATGAGGGCTTTGTGTCTGACAAATTGTATCCTCTACTTCCTTCTCTACCTAAGATTGCTGTTATCTGTGACAGTATATCACCATAGCAACCAGCTGAGATTCCACAAACTGGGCTGTCTCCCCTAGTGGGAAGTCAGCATCAGAAATACATTGTACTTGTCAGAAAATGAAGAGCCTTAAAGAATACAACATATGAAACATAAATGTGCCAAGGTTGAAATGAGTGCACTTTGGGCAAAATCTCTCCACAGCCATTTGAAATGATTTATGAAGGGAGATAAAAAAGCAGAAACATTATTTATTAATGCATAGAATATCCCAAGTGAAAATGTAATTTCCACACAAAAGTAAACATGACTATATTTTGAGCTAGTTTGTCTACTGTGCAACTGTCTAGCCTGTTAAGATGCAAGCTCTATTAAGTTTGTCATTTTTAACTCTTGGTGTCCCAGTCTTTCTTTCAGCCATTCAGATTTAGCACCAAACTATTTATATAATTTAGAGGCTTCCTGATTCCAGTCAGGAGTTATGTGAAGTGATGGGGGTTTTCCCCCCATTCTGATTTAATTTGTGCTATTTTATGTGCCTCTCTCTTTTTTTTAATTAAAAAAAATAGAGGAATGTGGAGATAGCACAGGAAGAGAGCAGTGCTTCACCAAAGAGTAGCAATGTTGGTTTCTCATTAGAGGAGGCAGCATTTGGAAAAGATTTCCAGTGTGAGATCACTGCTCTGATCTTGTGGAAGTCAAAAAAGGCAATGTGTGGACTTAGACCGAACAGTTTATTGATTGTTTTGCTAGGCCACCTTTGAATGACAGAAGCTGTCCCACAGGAGTTTGCCACAATAAGAACCCAATGAAAACATAATGTAATAGAATAATAAACCTTATGAAATGTGCAGACCTCAGCAGCAGAACATTTATCCATCAGAATTTCAAATTGAAGCAGTGTTGCAGTGCTGCAGTTAAAGTCCAGCTGCTTTTCCTTTAGAAATCTCATCAGCTCCTGGTTGGGGCATCTTAAGGACCATTTTCTCTCTTGGGCTTGCTTATTGGTTTCTATCCTGCTTCTCTCACTGATAGGTTCAGATGTGAGGAGAAGAAACGTGGGCTACTTTAGTAACTTCTGCCTCTGGAGAAGCTTGTGTAGCTCTGCCACGATCTCATTTCTGACACTTAGATTTTTCAAAGGGATTTTCAGGAGAAAGAGAACTTTCCCCCCTGCTTCGATGATTATAAGATAGCATTTTCAAGCACGCTGTTTGACATTCTCATAAAGATTTAGATTTGTGTGCCAGTTTTCTCTTACCTGCTGTGCTTCAGATATGATGGAGTAGAACTTGAGTTAGTCCACCTCTGAAAAGAACTGTGTGTGAAGCTTTGCTTAATATTGAAAAATTACTTAGAGAGGCAAAGGGGAGAGGAAGGGAAATATGTACATAAGGGGGGTGTGTGTGTGTGTGTGTGTCTGTCTGTCTGTCTGTCTGTCTGTCCTATATGTTTGTATACCCTTATATATACGTATATGTAGATATGTATATGCATAGACGTATATATAGAGAGATTTGTATGGATAAACAAAGTAATAGAAAAATAAAACCCAATCTATAGTATGCATTCCTTCAAGGACATAGGCTCATTGTGTTTTCTTTCCTTCTAGTACTTAGTATCTTTGATCCAGGAGAAGTTGGGATGGATGCAAGTTTTCTATTTCTTCATTTTGATGGTAAGAAGACATTACTTACCAAGAAAAAAAATCCAGATATGAATTTGTTAAGCAAGCAGATTAAAACTCCTGGTTTAGCATTATGTTAAACTGCTAGAACGCGAGATGATATATTATCCTATTTACGTCAATGGGAATTTCTTCTGACTAAAAAAAAAAAAAAAAAAAGATTGTGGCCCCAATGAGATAAAGCCAGAGGTAAGAGTCAAATAAAGGATGTCTTGATTGATGGCTCAATCTTTTCACTGTTGAATTGCTAATAGCTGGCTGGGGTCCAGCCACTTGTTCCCCATTCTGATGGCATCTCTCGAGGGAAACTGTTGTAGGTGAATATTTAAACATTTTGAATAAGGAAAATGAAAGACATAGTTTACATTCTTAGCTAAGTTCATCCAAAGAAGATGAAGGACAATCTAATCTTATAAAAGTTTTCAATATATTTTCAATTTATTTTAACTTTCTTGCCTTTTTAGCCTGGAAGGATTATATTTCCTCAGTTTCACAGGAAATAGCATTTATATGTATAATCTGATTGGCAACTGCAACATATTGAATATAATTTCTTCATAGGTTGCATGATATTCAATATGAAATAGTCCTCATGTGAAATTGAGATTGTATCATTGATAATGGGTGTAATTTTTAGAAGGCCAGATCCTGAAGTTGAAACTCAAATACTTTGGCCACCTAATGAGAAGGAAGGACTCACTGGAGAAGGGCCTAATGCTGGGAAAGATTGAGGGCAATAGAAGAAGGGGACGACAGAGAATGAGATGGCTGGATGGAGTCACTGAAGCAGTAGGTGTGAACTTAAATGGACTCCAGAAGATGGTAGAGGACAGGAAGACCTGGAGGAACATTGTCCATGGGGTCGCGATGGGTCGGACATGACTTCGCAATTAACAACAACAACAACAACAACCTCATAAGAAAACTGCAATCCTGAACACATTTAGAGGAGGTAGGTTAGTTAGATCTCTGACTAAATGCATAAGGGATCGTACAATGGCATATCTAAATGCACCTAAAACATCCTTTCTTAGTGTGGATGCCCTCCAAGCGTGGATTTCAACTATTAGAATTCTCTGCAATAGCCATGAACTCGCTGGGGCATTCTTTGAGTTGTAGTATAAACCACACTTGGAATACTGCATCCAATTTTGGTCGCCACAATGTAAAAAAGATGTTGAGACTCTAAAAAGAGTGCAGAGAACAGCAACAAAGATGATTAAGGGACTGGAGGCTAAAACATATGAAGAACAGTTGCTGGAATTGGCTATGTCTAGTTTAATGAAGAGAAGGACGTAATGAAGAGAAGGATGAGGGGTGACATGACGGCAGTGTTCCAATATCCAAGGGGCTGCCACACCGAAGAGGGAGTCAAGCTATTCTCCGAAGCACCTGAAGGCAGGACAAGAAGCAGAACTGATTTTGGCTTCTCTTCCAGTAGAAAATGGATCAGTTAGATGCAACTGCCATCAAAATAAGCAATATTGGGCCATTTGGGCAAACAGGCTGATCAGCTATAAAGTCCTTCTAAGTGTACATGGGATGGCAAATCTGGATTTGCCTCTGTGTAGTGTTTGATAACCTCTAGAGCTAGTGCCATAATTGCATTGAATCATATTGTGCATCTGTCTTCAAGCTATTCATATCTTTCTTTTTGCAGACCAGTTTAACAGTGGTCTTCATCATGCCTTTGATAGTGAAAGAAACTAGTATGCTTCTTACGCAGAGGCGCTTGCGCAGGTTGGCTGGCTGACCCCCTTCTCTTTTCCGTTTGGTGGACTTTTTTTCCCAAGGGAGAACTTGGCATTTCAAGCCTTTTGCATTCATTTCTTGATTTACATCCACAAAGATCAGATTTGCTGAAAGACTGCTGAGAAATGGCCACCAGTACATTCATCACTGAAAGATTGTCATCTGAATCCCATCCGAAGATAATGCTATGGAAACCCACAACTGGGAAAGAGCTAATTGTGTGCTTGGAAGGCTTAGCGAGTGGAACAGTGAGAGATGTTTTCTCTTTGATTTTTACCTCTTGTTTCCAAGGCTTGTTTATGCAATTATCAAGATTAAGTGATAAAACATTGGGCTTGTGTGTGGGAGAAAAGTTCTTGAAAGCAGAAAGTGATTGTGCCTAGAAAAAGCATTTGTATAGTAAACCCTTGATTTAATGGATAGGGACCCGGGCAGGGGAAAGGGGTGTCTATTAAAGCTGAATGAGATTGTTCGAGGCCAAAATGTACCCATACATGAAATTACTTTAATAATCATAAGTGTTTGGTGTCGCCTTTACCTATGAAGCCAAAGGTAAAAGCTATGCCTAAAATATTTATACCTTTTCTTACAAAATGCAGTCACCAACTCTTGTAAAAGAGTTTGAGATAGCCACTAACTGACCAGGTAACTATTTATTAATTATTATTATTTTAAAAAAATTATGCATGTGCAGCAGCAGGAAACATTGCCTGACCTGACTTGATCCATTATTTGGGATGAATTCTGATATTGCCTGAAATTCAGACAAAAATCCAGATCCAGATATTTTGTCCACTACATTGGAGATCCATTAAACAGAGGATTTACTATACTTGCTTTTTTTCCTATTGTGCTCATTTATCGGTAGCAATCTGGAGGTCTTCCAGATGTTTTTAAACTTCAGGTTCCTTTATGTCTCCCCATTGGCTCTGCTGGCTAAGGCTGATGAGAATTGGAGTTCAGCAGCAACAGGAGAGCCACTTTACATGTCCTGAAGATAATGTTATTTACAAAAGGAGAAATCCTTTAGATACATTGTCTTCCCCCACTTGCAAACCAGAGTGGACTCATCAAGGAAAAGCTTTACCAGGTGATGCTGGTGCCTTTACTCAAACTGACCCTTGTATATTTCTTTGCACTGTAATAAATCTGGATCTTTGTGCTTTACTCAGCCACCAAAAAAGCCATCAAACAGAGGAAATGGGCAGTGCTCTTTGCATTTTACTTTGGTGAAGAGGAAAGACATTTCCATTATTTAGTATTAAAAGAGCATTTCAGAACAACCTGGGACAATCCACTGCTGGTTTTTGCAAGTTTTTTGGTAGCTCCCTAACTGCATATTTTTTTTAATATATATATATATATATATATATATATATATATATATACACACACACACACACACACACACATATATATATATATATATATATATATATTTCAATAATGATGGTGAAAATGCGACTCCCGGGCATAATTATAAATGAAATGAATAAAGCGCGTTCACCAGGAGAGTTTAAAGTTAAAATACTTTAATTAAAGTATTTTACTATATTAAAAGGTTGCCAAGCTTTCGTTGGGAAAACTCCCCAACATCTTCAGGGCTGAGAGACCGTTTCTAACAAGGTGATTCAAACGGGTTCCATAGACTGTGCTAGCATTCCCTGCTGAACAGCTGATAGGTGGGAGGGGGAATCAGAGTAAAGATTTCTTCTGTCGTTCTCTCGAGCACTTTTGTTCACATTTCCGTCGACCTCAGGGGGTATTGTTAAAGTTATGTTCCGCCCTCTCACGAGAGCCAATACTGCCGGGAGAGGGCGGAACATAACTTTAACAATACCCCCTGAGGTCGACGGAAATGTGAACAAAAGTGCTCGAGAGAACGACAGAAGAAATCTTTACTCTGATTCCCCCTCCCACCTATCAGCTGTTCAGCAGGGAATGCTAGCACAGTCTAGGAACCACGTGCAGACGTCTATGGAACCCGTTTGAATCACCTTGTTAGAAACGGTCTCTCAGCCCTGAAGATGTTGGGGAGTTTTCCCAACGAAAGCTTGGCAACCTTTTAATATAGTAAAATACTTTAATTAAAGTATTTTAACTTTAAACTCTCCTGGTGAACGCGCTTTATTCATTTCATTTATATATATATATATATATATATATATATATATATATATATATACACACATACATACATACACACACAACAGGGTACTATTGAACCAGCTGAAATCCTTGGTGTCCTTACATAAAAAGAACATTTGTAGGGTGTTTGTTTGATCTCCAAATATTTGTCCTATCCAGATGTTCATGTTAATTTAACCTTCTCTCTCTAGCAGAGCAACTGCATTCCGTAGTTGATTTTTATCTTCTCTTAATTGTCTAAAATGTGAAAACAAGCTGAGTCTCTGGAGATGTGTAGAGCCAACTATTTTATACAGAAGGGTAGTAATCTCAGTTTTACTAAGATCCTTACATTTTTATTATTTTTTTAAAAATAGAAAATGATCAAAAGCAAAAGGGAATAATTATTGTCATTTGAGATTGTTCACTATATACATTGGAGATCACTGTCACCCACAGATAGGCAGAGACCTCTTGATTTCTTTTTAAGGATTCCACCAAGCCTGATCCTTCCTTCCTTAAGACCCTATAATATACAATCTGTGATCCCCACCAAAGGCACTCTGTGGGCAGAGCTTGCCATTACATAATGAGCATAGCTACTTCTCCCCCCCCCCCCACAAAAAAAAGCAAAGCTGCATTGGTTACTTTTTTCCTTGTCTTTAGCTTCTAGATAAGAGGTGTCAAACTGCCGGCTGCGCTCACCCCATTGCCAGCAATGGCAAAACAGTCCCGATACGTCGCGCAACGTCACGTGACGTCGCGAATTTGACATGTCTGCTCTAGATCAGCTTAATACAAATCGAAGAATCATTATGCCATGAATAAATATCTAGAAATATTTGGTATAATGACCACAATTTGAACTAGAAGATGATATTGAGAAAATAAGACTTAAATTTAGGGCTGCTGTTTCGAGCACTTGTCTTACATATTAATGCACAGGTCTGCCTTACAAGTTCAGTAATCTTGAGTTGGATCAGATAATATCTGCCTTGCTCTCATCTATCTTTTCTGCAAGATGCATTTTCACATATTTCAGAAATTTCCAGATAGGACCGTATTAGCAAGTGCTGTATTCAGTGACATCTATGGTACCCCAAAATTAAATGCAAAATGTTTGCTTTTAAATAGCCAAAATTTTGAGAAATCATCAAATTGTATCTTGGTCTTTTTGCTCAAATTATATAAGATTCTGGGCATTTTAAAAACATTATTTTTAGCACCCCTGATGCAGCACTTGTTCTTGGATAATATCTCCTGCCTAAAAAGCTTGCTAACTGTTGTGGAGGGTAAACTCATATGATCTGATGTGCATCAAGCAGTCAGACCCCGTTTTTTTAATGTGGAATAACAATGATATTATCCTGTGTTTATGTATTCCTCAGTTGCATACCCTCAGGCCTTATTCATGATGCCCCACTTGAACGTTTAATGAACAAGGCATGCTCTGGATTCGCACTGTACACAAGGGATAGATTTTTGCAGCATTATTGTCTGATCTAGCAGATGACTCTAGCTGAAAATGGTGGAAGAAATTGGGCACGTAATCTTCAGCACAGGCTCAGAGACCTTAGTAACTGGGTTCAACCAGCACAACTATCCAGATTCAAACATGTCTGTGAATGACGAAAGCATAACAGTGTTATCCTTTTTCTGAAAGTGCACTGTGCCATTGCATGCATGCAACTGAAACTTCATTTTTGTGATTCAATGTTTTGTGCAAATGTAGCCCTTTTAGTTAGTTCATGGTTCAGTATATTGTGTGAACTCAGAAAACTGGGTTAATTTAAAAAGGAAGTAAAGTTTGTTATGTTTCAAGAATCGAAAATTGGATTAAAACTACAAAATGAGTTTCTTCAGGGTGGTGGGATCCTCAACTCAATTTTCAGAACTGCCTTTTATCTGCAGACTTAGATGTCATCTTGACCCCAAATTTCTAATGTTTGGTTGTTATTGAGATAAAAAGAACACTAAGCTAATTGTGAATTTGAGGGGAAGAAATTCTTGTTTTTGTTTTTTAAAAACATTTTATATGTGCTTAATGGTAATTTTCTTTAAAAAAATGTATATGTTCATGTAGATTTTTTAAATCATGTTGTGGCTGCTGTAAGTGAAAATTTTTGATAACTTAAGAGTCTCTTAATTATGTTGGTTTAGTCTTTTGTGTGTTCTTTTCCGGTAATGCTGCTCTGTTCCACTGTTCACAATACACAATAGCCTAATTTATGAGCATTAAAAAACATTTCTCAACATCTTTACTTTTAAATTATAAATCCACTCCAAGAGCAGAAAAAAATTGCAGTAAAAGCAAACTTTACTTTCTTTCTTTTCTTTCTTGCTCCTTTCCACTAAGTTATGGCATCAACTCTTTTGTGGTTTCCCTTGAAAAGAGATGCCTTCAACCTTTGACTTTTGTTTTTATTATTAAAATACTTTCTTTAAAAATTATGCTTAAATGATTTTAATTAAGCACGAAAGCATGATGTTGAATTCTAGCCTTTCCCTAGTTAAAGAAACTTTTCCAGATTTGGGGACATAATCACTTTCCTCACTTCTGGTTTGCTTGATGGGAGGCAGCCCTTCCTGCATATTTTCACCATGAGAGAAGAACAGGAAACTTTATAATCACATCCTTGAATCGAAATGTGAGAGCTCAGGATTTCTTGGCTGACTGAAGGTGAAGATGGGCCAACACTCTGAAGCAGCAATCACCAATCTGGCACCTTTGAACTGTTAGACCAGGGGTAGGCAACCTTGGCTTTTTTATGCTGGCTCAGGAATTCTGGGAGTTGAAGTCCACAAGTCATAAAAGAGCCAAGGTTGCCTACCCCCGTGTTAGACTATGCTTCCCATTGTCTCAAACTAGCATAGCTAAAAGTTATATGAGGTGCAGCTCAATGCATACAGTATGGAAGGTTCCAGGT